CAATGGCATTCCAGCCCCTGTCCCAGGCCCCAGCTTTAACCCTTCGGCTCCCAGGATCCAACTGCGTCAGGTGGACTGGCAGGCTTAGGGGAGGGCTTCGGGCCTGCCCCCTCGGCTCTGCTCGCTGTCTGATGTCTGCCCGCGGGAGCTGAGGGCTGAGGATGGGGGCCCTCCTGCCTACGTGCCCGTGAGCCCCGTGCTTTGCTGTGGAGGGGAGGGGGCAGTCCCCCCCGCCCGACCACCCTCTCCTGCCTTTCTGCGCTCCAGTATTTACACTCCCTTTGCCTGCTTGCAGCCTTGCGGGAGGTGCTGTGTCTCAAGGAAGAGAGGGATGGGGGGGGGGATTTTCAGGAGGGAGCTGCTCCACCAGGGCGCCTTGGAGGCGAGTCCAGTGGGGATGGAAATGGGGCTGTCATCGTTCTGAGCACCCACCTCTGTGTGGCTGGCCCATCCTGACACAGTGGGGGGCCCTTGGCTTGAGTCTATGGGTGTTGGTTCCAATGTTGGGGTCTAAAAACGGGAACAGTGCTTACCCGTGTGGGCAGCGCCCACTCTGGCCCCTTTCCAGAGGCTACAAACATCTGGGGTTTAGCGCTGCCTGCGGAACTGGTCTGCCATTTAGACACGGCCCTACTGCTGGGTGACCAGCTGTCCTGGCCCCACAATGCAGGACTTTCGGGGCCAAGACTGGGAACATCCTGGGCAAATTGGGACGAGTTGGTCACCTTAGGCCCCAGGCAGGAGGGGGACTCCTCTGGGCTGGGGGTGGAGAGAAGCCCCTGGGGAGGCTGAAGGACCCCTCAGAGACCCGAGCTTGCCTCCAGCGCCTGACACCTGCTCAAACCTGTGTGGCTGGATTCCTGGCATCCGGGAAGGCCGCAGAGAGCCCAGGGACAAGCTCGCCTCTATTTGCCCTTCTTCTCAATCATCCTCCCCCTCCGCCCCTCAACCCTGAAATCCGAGGCCCCGGGGGCTGGAGGAGCTGGACAAACCCGCCCAGAACTCTGGCGCCCGTCACGGGCAGGCACCCGGGACTCTGGCTGTTTTCCCCGAAGGAAAGGAGCCGGGGCAGTTCCTCACACCAGAGGGGGCCCCAAGGGGCAGAGGAAGAGCCCGTCGAGTCTAAGTTCTAGACCAGCTGTTTGGCACTGGCCTCAGTTTCCCCATTTTAGAAGGGGAGGGTTCGCAAGCTTTTTGGGGTCTCAGTCCCCTTTGATGGAGGCCATAAACCTCACCTCCAAAAACTGCTACAGCCCCTTCCCAGAAGCAACGCATCCATTCCTGGGTTTGAACCGTGAACTGGTCCTTGAAGATGGAATATTTTGGGTGGTCCCGGTGAACAGGCCGAGCAGGGACGGATCCAGCCCCCACAGGGAGGGCTGCGCAGGGGCCCATGTTCCTAGGACTCCCAGTCCTGCTGGTGCCCCCGGCCGTTCTGCTCCAGCTTCGCCCCAGCCCTCCCAGGGCCTGGGCCGGGGCATGGAGGTGAACGTCTCTCCCAGGTGAGGGCCCTCTCTGTGCCTTCGGGAATCCTACCGCCACCCTGAAAGTGAACAAAGGGATTTGCATCGCCCCTTCCCTCTTCGGATGATAATACTATGCAGGGGCTCTTAGCACTCAGGGCGGTGCTTGTGAGAGGTCATGAACCTCCCCCTCCCCAATGAGGAGCATATGCTTGTGGGGTAGATTCCAAGGGTCCTATGAGGTTTCTCAAAAGGGACTTTGACCCAAGGAGGTTAAGGACCTTGACCTTTCATAATCTGACCCAGGAGAGGGGTGGGATTTGAATCGCGGTCTGTGTGACTCTCAGGCTACAGCCCACAGTGGGAGTCATGCGCTCCTCAGAGGTCTTCAGGAAGGGAGGTCTTTCCCGCAGACTGGGATCAGGGCTCAGGGGTGCCTGGAGTCACCCTGCGGCTCATCCCCTTGCCCACTTCTGTGGTGTCTCAGCCAGAGAGGCCTGACTGCTGGTCACTTGCTCCCCACCAGGGAAAGCCAGCTAGGTATTGGGGCTGCACCCCAACCCGGGCTCCTGCCCCACCCCCCGCCCCATGCCCCTGTGTGCCCCTCCCTCCATACTTCCACAACAGGCTCTTTATCCGTGGCCACGGGCCCTTCAGGCAGCTCAGCCCCCCAGTTTCAGCAGTTGGGGAGGGAAGGGCACACCTGAGCGGAGGTAGCACTGTGTGTGTTGGGGGGGGAGTAGTTTCTAGGCCGTTGCCTCGGCGATGCCACCTGAGCTGGGCGCCAGGCACCTGTTGCCCAGGGAACGGGGCGGGCGGGGCCCTTCCCTCGGGAGCCGCCAGGGCCACTGGGCTGAGACTGGAGACAGATCGGGTTCCGGAGAGTCCCGGCGGAGACTGGGCGACTCCGCGGGGGTGTGCGATACTGGGGGGGCTGGGGGCATTTGCATAACGAAACGAGGGGGGAGCATAAATGGCGGGGGCTGGCTGGGGAGGAGCGGGCAGTCCAGGAGGGCGGGTCCGGGACCCCGTCTCCCCCCACTGCTGACTCCATGGCCTGTCCTCAGGTTACTGCCTGCACGAAATTCTTTCTTGCCCTGTCCCCTCCCGGTCACTGTGTTCCCCACAATTGGTCCCATGGCCCCCCCAGCCCAACACCCGCCCACAGCACCCCCAGCTCCACCTCCTCCCCCATCTCAGCCTTAAAACTCCGCCTGCCAGCCAAGCGGCAGAGCCTCCAGGTGGCACCCGCTGGAGGCCGCAGCACTCAGCGCAGACCTGCGATCACCGGGAGGCAGCACAGGTGGGTCAGGGTCTGTGAGAGCTCAGTGGGACAGGTGGCAGCTGGGTCATCACTGCAGCATCAGCGAAACAGGGCATCTGATGGGCCACGGCCCCTTGCAAGGACACAAGCTGCTGGACTGGGCAGAACGTGAGGGTGATCGGTGTCTAGAGAGGGTCCGACGTACCTGCGAGAGGAGATGCCCACAGGTGTGAGTGCTGTCCCAGCCCCAGGACGCTGACGACCTCCTGCCCCTCCTTCTGGCATCTCACCACCCCGGAGTCAACCAGACCGCCCCGGCTTGGGAAGACCTAACTGAGAAAGCAGATGGCTTCAAGTGGCCTAGAACTGCTGGGCATGACCCTGGCCGCGCTGGGCTGGCTGGGCACCCTGGTGTCCTGTGTGCTACCTCTGTGGAAGGTGACCGCCTTCATCGGCAACAGCATCGTGGTGGCCCAGGTGGTGTGGGAGGGGCTGTGGATGTCATGCGTGGTGCAGAGCACGGGTCAGATGCAGTGCAAGGTGTACGACTCGCTGCTGGCGCTGCCCCAGGACCTGCAGGCCGCCCGTGCCCTCTGTGTCATCACCCTCCTGCTGGCCCTGCTCGGCCTGCTGGTGGCCATCACGGGCGCCCAGTGCACCACGTGCGTGGAGGACGAGGGCGCCAAGGCCCGCATCATGCTCACAGCGGGCGCCATCCTCCTCCTCTCGGGAGTCCTGGTGCTCATCCCCGTCTGCTGGACAGCCCACGTCATCATCCAGGATTTCTACAACCCCCTGGTGGCCGAGGCGCTCAAGTGGGAGCTGGGGGCCTCCCTCTACCTGGGCTGGGCAGCGGCCGCCCTGCTCATGCTGGGTGGGGGGCTCCTCTGCTGCACATGCCCCCCACCCCAGGTTGACCGGCCCCGTGGACCCAGGCTGGGCTACTCCATCCCCTCCCGCTCGGGCACGTCCGGGCTGGACAAGAGGGACTACGTCTGAGGTTGCGGCCACCACCACCAGCCCGCTCATCCACCGGAAGGCCTTCAGCCCCGACTGTCTGGACACCTTGCTCCAACACTTGCCTGACACTGCCACCAACTCCTCCGCTTCCCAGAAGACTGTCTGGCTGAGCCCAGAGCCTCCTCGGTGGTGCCCCACCCGATTATGCCCCATCCTCACAAGGCTTGGGCCAGAGCCGATGGGGTGACACTGGCCTGCTGCTAGCTCCCCATGAGTTCCAGTCTGTTGCTTTCTTCTGCTGTCCCGGACAAGCTGCACCCCTCCTCTTCCTCTCTGAGCTCCTCCCACCCCACCCCACCCCGCCCCCGCAGCCTGAACAGCAGCCCCTCGGCTCCCAGACAAACCCCCACGATCTCCCTGCCTGTACAGCTGTCACCGGCATCCAAGAGGCTCAGGCCAGGCCTTCCAGAAGCGAGTCCTGTCCAGCCAAGGCCTTCTCCACTTGGGCGGCCCAGCCCATCACCTCACCCACCTCACCATCCACCCCCACCCCCCTGGGGAATAAACAGCATTTGTAACTCGGCTCCCTCTGTTCTGTGCTGGGTAGGCTCCCTCTGTTCTGTGCTGGGTAGGGCGTGGCCTTGCTCCAGGCCTGCAGGGTGGGGAACATCCCCCAGGCCATGCAGGCCCCTGGGGGGTCTGAGCCAGGGAAGGCACAGAGGCAACAAAGGAACAAAGGAGAGCACCCACCTCCTCCCCCAGGACACCAAAGGCAAGTTAACAAAACACACTTTATTTAGTAAAAACCCTATTTAGTGAGCACAGGGCGGGGCGTGCAGGGGGCTGGAGGTGAGGGTGGATCTACAGCTCAGCTGGGATGTGGGGAGGGTCAGACTTGGACGTGGGGTTTCTTTGCTAACTTCTGTGCTGCTCTTCTGGAAATGGAGGCTCCAGAGGCCTGATGGGAAGGGGTATCTCTGCCAAGTCCAGGAGGCCCTTGCCCTTCCCTAGTAGCAGGGCAGCAGCTCCTCTTGGGGACAGGCCATCCTTTCGTCAGAAAGCAGCCCTCCACACTGGGCCCCCAGCTGGTTTGTGGGTGCCCCTGGGAGGTGATCCAGAAACTCCAGCAGCAGCAGACACCAGAGTGGGAGAGTCGCCTCCTTGCCTGTTATCCAGCGGATTAAAAAAATGCCCCGAAGAAATAAAAACAGCAAAAACAAAGGCTAAAACCCACCCCAAAGCTGCCTAGCATCGCTGCCTGTAGGTTGGCTCTAGCTCTGGGGGAGGGGGGAAGAAGGCTCCGTGGTCAGGGAGCTGCCACTCTCCCACCCCCATCAGACGTAATTCTTGGTGGGGTACTCAGAGGGCCCCCGAGAGGTGCCCTGAGGGGCAGATGCTGAGTAGCGGGCCGTGTAATGGCTGGAGCCCCGGGACCCCCGAGAGGGGCAGGTGCAGCACAGCAGCCCCCCGCCCAGCAGCAGAAGGCCAGAGGCAGCCCAGCCCAGGTAGAGGGAGGCCCCCAGCTCCCGCTTTTGGGACTCGAGCACCAGGGGGTTGTAGAAGTCACGGATGATGGTGTTGGCTGTCCAGCAGACAGGGATCAGGGCCAGGACCCCCGAGATGATGAAGATAATCCCAGAGGTGAGCACCAGGCGAGCCTTGAAATCCTTGTCCTCCACACAGGTGGTGCACTTGGCCCCGGCGAGGTAGACCAGCAGGCCAAGCAGGGCCACCAGGAGGGTGATGACGCAGAGGGCACGGGCGGCCTGCAGGTCCTGGGGCAGCGCCAGTAGCGAGTCGTACACCTTGCACTGCATCTGGCCCGTGCTCTGCACCACGCACGCCATCCACAGCCCCTCCCACATCACCTGGGCCACCATGATGCTGCTGCCGATGAAGGCGGTCACCTTCCACATGGGCAGGGCGCAGGATACCAGGGCATTCACCCAGCCGAGGATTGTCAGGATGATCCCGAGGATCTGTAGGCCAGTGGAGGCCATGGCAAGGTCCAGGAGCTTTGGGGGACAGAAGCAGAGCAACACTGAGCTCATCTTGTTCCACTAAGCCCACGCTGCCAGCCTTGGCCACCACATATGACGAGCAAGAACATGGGCCCTGGGAGCGGGGACACTGTGTCCTGCCACATGGGCAAAAGCGCACTCCCTGAGCCTCATTTTATCGTCGGCAAAATAGGCACTTAATGTGTTAGCATTTCTTTTTTCCCTGGTTAGGTGGCAAGCATCGGCTTCCAATGGTGAGTAAGCAAGCAAGTCTGTCCCGGCTGTTTGGAGTGTAAATGAAAGAAAGCGGAAAAGGTAAAAAATAGCAGGCTAGTCCATGGGGTGTCCACCTGGACTCTGGTTGATCAAGCAGCAAAGCGGCAAAAAGTGGCATGAAGAGAGTGTGATCTCCAGGTGCTTTCCGTGAGGCACAGATAGCCATGAGCTTCAACACCCAGGTTGGTGTCCAGGCCCCTGGTTACCAGTGTGATCTCAGGACACTGTCTTCCCCGAGCCTGGCCCTCCCCAACCCTCCTTCCTGGGCCTGGAGGTTGCCCAGCACCTCACCTGGGTGGCCGGGAGGCCCAGCCCCAGCCAATACAGGGCTGGACCAGAGAGGAAATAACAAAACCCACTGACCCTCCTTCCCCAAGACCACCCTCGACCCTTGCCATTCTGCAGAGGGCGCCCACAAGACAAGTCATTTTCTTGTGAGTGAGTGCTTCCCCAAAAATGTCACGTTAGGGTCGCCTCAGGACACAACTCACCTAAAAGCTGAAAGTCTCCCCTCCGCCACGCCCCGGCCCCCAGCCATCTAAGCTCCCGGCACCTGTCTCCCCCTCACATCCCAGCTGGTGGAAGTCGCCACACGGGATCAGCTTTAGGGTTCAACGATCTTCCGACACGGGTAGGACTCAGACTTAGTGCGGCCCTAACCGTGCGGCCGGTGGGCAGGCTCTGGATTTGCTTCTCCACGGTCGCCCCGCCCCGGCCCCAGGGAAGGTGACCGGGCGGGGCGCCATCCCAGCCCCAGGTTAGGGCCGGACCGTGCCGGCCTAGTCAACCCTGAGAGCGCCATGCGCTTTCCATACCTTCCCGGCTGGGCTCGGTCCGCGAACCCCCGCCCGCCCTCAGCCCCGGCCCCAGCTGGGGACCGCGCGTCCTGGAGGGGTTTAATGGCGGCGCCAGGGGCAGGGTCCGCTCCCGCAGGTGAGGGGGAGGGGATTCCCGCCCCCGAGAGGCAGCGCAGGTGGGGGAGGGGCGCCCGGGGTTTCGGTGCCTTTGTCCCGGGGGAGGGGGAGGGGTGTTTAACCCTTCCGGAGCCGCCGAAGGACCCAACCTGCTCGGCAGCTTCGGCGCAGCCCCCAACCCAGGGTCTCACCGCAAGGAGCGCAGCCCAGGTTGTCCCACACGCACCTCCACCCATGCCGCCACGACCCCGCACCCAGGCCCCTTGGTGCGTCTCCTACCCCCCCCCCCAACTTAGCCTCGGCTCACCTGCAGAGGACAACTGAAAGATTCGTGGGAGGCGGCAAAATGTTCGACGGGGCGGAGGCGAGGGGGGTCTTAAAGCGGTCGTGACGTCACTTGCCCCCCGCCCCCGGGGTGGGGCAGAGACCCCGGCCCAGACGGCTCTGGGCGCGCGAATCCCAGCCTAGTCAGAAGGGGGCGCTCGAGACTTGGCGCAGGGCGCGGCCGGCCCCGGGGGCTGGGATCCCGGCTGGTGACTTCGGACCCGCGGTGGGTGAGGGCGCGGGCCGTGGGGCCAAACGGAGTTGGAGTCTCGGCTCTGGCACTTCTTAACGCTGTGACCTCGGCAGTTCACCTAACCCTCCCGAACCTCGGTTTTCTACTCTGCCAAATGAAAAAAAAAGGCTGCATTTTAATATGTAACCGCCTACTAAGGCGCGGTTAAACGGCACGCGGTAAACAAACTCTCAGGGAACGTTAGGGATTTTTTTTTTTCTGTCGTTATTCTTAAGCCCCCGGGGCCCTTAAGAAAGTTGCCACCATCTGTGCAGTAAGAGCTGTTTCGTTTCTGTCTGATGCCCCCTCCCCCCCAACTCCAGACTTGGCACCGGGAGTGCAGGCCCGCGCCTGCGTCCCTGCAGGGTCCTGGGCGCAGAGCCAGTGTTTGTTGAACGAATGACAGAGCGTAGCGGACTGGCGGGGCCGGGAGCCGGGAGCTGGGCGGTCCAAGGGGGCGGTGCGGGGCGGGAGACGGCTCCGCCCCGGAAGGCGGGGGCGAGGCGAGGACTTGCTGCCCAGAGCGGTCGGCTGGCGGCGGGAGCAGACAGCGGCGGCAGCTGGACGCGCGCACCATGGCTCTGGGCCCGCTGCGTCCGCTGCTGCGGCTCCTCGTGCTGGGACTCTGGCTGGCGCTGCTGCGCGCGGCGGCTGGAGAGCGGACGCCAGGTACGCGGGTGCGGGGCAGGCACCCGGCGGGAAGTTGTGGGGGCCGGGCGGCCGGGAGGACCCAGGGCTGGGGACCGGCGTGCCACGTCTGGGAGCTTGGGAAAACTGGGCCGAATCTAGGGAACCAGGCGGACGTGGGAGTCCGGAGCTAGGTGGTCTCCAGGAACCGCGTTCCCTGGCTGGGGGGGATCCCATCCAGCTCAGAGCTTCAGCCGCAGTCCGGATCTCAGTTTCCTCTCCTGCCCACTTAGGGGGCTTCTTCTTGAAAGTCGGGGCTCGAAGAGGGGAGAGAAAAAAGTTTGTGGGCGGGATGTCTCATCTGCTACGGGGTCACGCCCCTAGCCTGGACAATATGGGGTCTGCCTAGCCCCAGGGACCCAAGATTAGGGATGTCGAGAGGCACGGGGGTCTTTGCCCCCTATGCCATGTGGGGTGCCCCCTTCCGTCCGGTGACTTCAGTGCCCAGCTATGCGGGGGGAGGGGCCGGGGTCGGGCCCGGTGCCCAGGAGTGAGTCACCCGCCAGCGGCGGGTGGGGGGTAGGTTATGGGGGACCAACCACCCCCCAGCGGCCCGCGCTGCTCCCCCCACCTCCACATCCCGCTGCCGAGTCCCGGACGAGCCGTGCGGTCACCTGTGAGGAATGCGGGGAAGGGCGCCGGTGACTCACGTCATCCGAGCCGGCCGACCCTGACCTCAGCCCCCAGAATAGCCGCGCCCCGCCCCAGCCTCTGACCCGCGGCCCCCTCCCCAGGCGCCGCCCCCTGCTCCCGCGGCACCTCCTGGAGCGCGGACCTCGACAAGTGCATGGACTGTGCGTCGTGCTCGGCGCGGCCGCGCAGCGACTTCTGCCTGGGCTGTGAGTGGGGGCAGGGTCCGGCCGGGTGGACCCTGGACCGGGAGAGAGGGGTGCGGGGGGGCAGAGAGGGGAACAGCGGGCTCCCCATCTGGAGCGGGCTGAGGCTCAGATCTGGAGGGCAAAGTCTCACTTCCCACCCCGCCCCCAGGCGCTACAGCCCCTCCGGCCACCTTCCGGCTGCTCTGGCCCATCTTGGGGGGCGCCCTGAGCTTGGTCCTTGTGCTAGGGCTGCTTTCCGGCTTCCTGGTCTGGAGACGATGCCGCAGAAGAGAGAAGTTTACCAGTAAGTGTGCCCCAGCCCGCCTGCCCCGCCACTCCCCAGTTTTCCCTTCTCACGATGACCCCTCTTGTCTTGCAGCCCCCATCGAGGAGACAGGTGGGGAGGGCTGCCCCGGCGTGGCGCTGATCCAGTGACAGTGAGCGCCCCCGCCAGCCGTGTTCCCACTCATCATTCATTCATTCATTCATTCATTCTGGAGCCAGCCCTTGCCTCCCAGACGCAGCCTGTGCCAGGCTCAGACAACCACGGGGAGGGGTGGTGGTGGTGAATCACCTCTGAGGCCTGCGTTTTTGGGGAGACTTCAAGGTGTCTCTAATTGCCGCTCTCAGGCTCCAGGACAGAAAAGGAGCCCCAGCGGCTCACACGCGACTGACCGCTGACACTGAGGAGCTACAGCATTTGCACAGGGTGTCTCCACCCCCACGCCCTGGGGGGCCAGGCCCCCTTGAGGGGCAGACACAACACTAGGCCCCACCCACTCAGATGTCCTGAAACTCTGCCACGGGGTCTCAGCCTGGGGGGTTAGGGACCTGCTCAGAACACTAGGGGCTGGCCCTCTAGTGGGGCTAGCTCTACTACACTGCCTCCACTAGCCCCCAAGATGGGGAGATATTTATTTTGGGGGAAAAGTTTGAGAGGGAGGGAGAATTTATTAATAAAAGAGTCTTTAACTTTAAATGGCTTGGAGAGTGGCATGGTCCCGGCCGACTTCCCCGCTGGAAGGAGGGAGTGAGTCAGCCAGCCGCGGGGGCGGGGGCGAGGCTCTGACTCACACATTCTCAATGCCTGAGCCCAGCCTGCCAGGGCCTGGCCCGGCCCTGACCGTTTTCCAGGGAATATCTTGAGGGAGAAGCCCAACATCCGGCACCCCAGCTCGCCCTGTGGGCCCGGACTGAAGCCTTCGCTCGTTCAGCAGTCTTTATTCAGTGCTCCTCAGTAGCATGCCTTCCTCCCAAGCTCCTGCCCTCCCACCCCGGGCTCCGTCCGCAGCGTCTTCCATGGTGGGGGACGGTCCTGGTGCCCGGAGGCCTTGTCTGGTGGAGGAGGAGCAGGGCAGCTGGTCTCTTTGTGGGGTGCTGGTCTCCCTTGTGCAGGGAGGAAGGCAGGTGGGCGGGGCATTGCCCATCAGTACTCAGAGCTCCATTATATCCCCAGCTGGGGTAGCAGGGTAGTGGGGGGTGGGGGTGTCCCCCAGCCTCAGCAGCCGGAGGGCCTCAGGGATCAGGTTCCCAGGGTAGCGCCACAGAAGCAGCTCAGAGCAAGGGCCCCTAGAAGAGGAAATGACCGTCAGGGCAGGGGGTGGGGCTGGCCTGGCAGAGCCACCCCCTGCCAGATCCAGGTCAGCACCCTCCAAGGAGGCAGGATGGGAAATCACCCAGAGGTTGGCTGGAAACTAAAAATAGCAGGATGAGGCAGGGCCTGGAAGTTGGGCTGAGGACCAGTGTGATCCTCCAGGGGGGTGGCGGATGGAAGGTGCTTACCTGAGTGGGGGCAGGGCTGGGGGTACGGCCCTGGGGGGGCTGCAGTAGGGGTGGTCGTTGTAGAGGCTGAGTCGAGAGAAGTGGGTGGCCATGTTCTCCTCGGACAGGAACTGCTTGCGTAAAGGTTCCCTGGGGAGAGACGAGGAGGCAAGCTGGCTGGGATATGGAGAGGGCAGGCGGCCTGATGGGGGTCAGAGGTGGCCAAGGTCTAGTTGGGAGTGCCTCCCTGCCCCCAAACTCACTGCTCCTCCTCCAGGCGCCGCTTGGTGCTCATGGGCACAGCTCGGAGAGGGGAGCTGGGAAGAGACAAGAGCCAGGTGCATCCCACCCTCCTGGTCCCACGCCTAGAATCTGCCCATCTGAGCCTGCAGCCTCAGCCAGCAGCCCCCATCCCTGTCTTAGCTGACACCCAAGTCACCTTCCCTCTCCCGGGCCATCCAGCAGCCTGCCTTGGTAGTCGTGGCCCTGAGCCCCCAGCCCCATCCCAGTCTCAGGGCACGCCCAAGCTCCACGGGCTCACCCACCATGTGTCATCCTGCAGACCAGCCCGGAGCCCCCCGGCCAGGCCCATCCCGGGGCCCCACACGCACCTCGCGTCCAGGCTCCGGGTCGCCCCCGAGGCAACCCGGGAGTCGCGCTGAGTCCGACCCCGGGGGCCGCGCTCCAGAGGCTGCTGCAGGATCATTGGGGCTAGGGGTCCTACGGCCAGAGGGGTGGGATCCGCACGGCAGGGGCGGAGCCTCCGAGGGCGTGGCACAAGGCGGGAGGCGCGGTCTCCGGCGCGCGCAGCGGCGAGGTTCCGCGCAGGCGCGGAAGACTGGTGGGGCGCGCTGGAAGGTGGGTCTGTTCAGCGGGGTGGGGGAGGGGATCCGGCGTAGCAGGGCTGCTGTGGGCGCCACTTACTGTCGGGGCCTTCGAGGCGCTCACCTCGGTTCGTGGGGCTCGGGGCGGTACGCGGTGACCACCTTTGCGCAGCGTTGGGCCGTGGAGCGCCGCGAAGGACTCTCGCGGGCACGTCCGGACTCGTGAGGCCGCGTGGCGCGAAGCAGTCTGGGACTTGTAGTCCTCAAGATGGAGCGAGCGGTGCCGCACGCGGTTCCGCTGGGTCAGGTGAGGCGGGCACGGGGCGCAGGGCCTTCTGGGGTTTGTATTCCAGGCCTGGCTCGACTGGGCGGCCGAAGAATCGTGTCCCGAGCCCTGTTGCGCGTGGGCTGTTTGTGGGAATCGTACTCAGAGCGGGGGGCGGAGGAGTAACCCAGAAGTCAGCACGTTTTTCGGTGTTGCGGGCAAGAGAACCACTTCTTAAGCATTTTCTACGTGGCAAACCCTTTGCGAGGCTGTTTGTATACATTAGCGCATCTAATTGAGACACAAACTCCCGTGAGTTCACTTGACCCTTGAGGAAACTGAGTAGAGAAGCTTCCAGTGGGCTGCACCTGAACTCTCCCCTTCCTCAGCCTCCTCTTGGCGCCTCCCAGGGCTGTATGGGCAGGTGTCTGCGTGGTGGACTGCCTCGAAGGAGGGCTGAGAAGTTTGGACGGTGGGGGGCCTGGGCTGGCCCCAGGGCTGGAGGTCCACAGGTCCTCATCCCAGCTCTCCTCCCAGATGGAGGTGTTTCAGGCCCTGCAGCGGCTGCACATGACCGTCTTCTCCCAGAGCGTGTCCCCCTGCGGGAAGTTCCTGGCGGCGGGCAACAATTACGGGCAGATTGTCATCTTCAGGTACTCGTGGCCCCTGCTCGCCAGCATCCACTAGCCCTGACGCTTGGCCCTCCGCCCTCCTGGGACTGATGCCCCCTGTTTCTGGCTCCTGGGCCCCCTCCCCTCTCCCCTCTAGCTTGTCTGCTGCTTTGAGCTCTGAGGCTAAAGAGGAAAGTAAGAAGCCTGTGGTGACCTTCCAAGGTGGGTGCAGCTGTCTGTACTGGCTTTGGGGACTCCAGGGTGGAGGAAGGGGTAGGATGGGGTCACTCAGGTTCTGCCTTTCCCTTCAGCCCATGATGGGCCTGTGTACAGCATGGTGTCCACTGATCGGCAGCTGGTCAGTGCTGGGGACGGGGAGGTGAAGGCCTGGCTGTGGGCGGAGATCCTCAAAAAGGTAAGGAGTGTGGAGCTGGGCAAGGGGCTGGGTGCCTAGGCCCAGGGAGGACCTTGGAGGCCATTTGGTGTTTTCCCACACGAAGGGTAGCAAGGAGCTGTGGCGTCGTCAGCCGCCATACAGGTGAGCCAGGGCCAGGTGGGCGGAGGCACCTGGGCGTGAAGGCACCCTTGAACCAAAGCTGACCCCAGTCTTCCTCCCCCAGGACCAGCCTGGAAGTGCCCGAAATCAATGCTTTGCTGCTCGTCCCCAAGGTTCGAGGCCCCCTGAGCCCTTTGTGACTGGGAGCTCTGCCCTGCCCTGTTCTTGGCCCAGACTTTGCCCTTGTCCCTGTCCTGATTGGTTACTGACCTCCAGCCTGGCCCTGCCTTGCTTCGCAGGAGAATTCTCTCATCCTGGCCGGGGGAGACTGTCAGCTGCACACTATGGACCTTGAAACTGGGGCCTTCACGGTGAGCAGGGCCAGGGAGCTGGGGGAGGGCCGGGGGTCCGGGGTGTTCTTTCTGGGCCTGCTCCCGACACAGCCCCTCTCCCGCAGCGGGCCCTCCGGGGCCACACAGACTACATCCACTGCCTGGCACTGCGGGAGCGGAGCCCTGAGGTGCTGTCGGGCGGCGAGGATGGGGCCGTGCGGCTTTGGGGTAAGGGGCTGGCTGGTCGGAGATAGAGATGGCGGTGGGGAGGCTGGGGTGAGGATGGCGCCACTCAGGGTCCTCTCCACAGACCTCCGCACGGCCAAGGAGGTGCAGACAATCGAAGTCTACAAGCACGAGGTGAGGCCAGGACCCAGCCCCCCACTCCTCCCCAGCCTCCCTGCATCCTCACCTCTCGCTTTCCTGCCTCTAGGAGTGCTCTAGGCCCCACAATGGGCGCTGGATCGGATGCTTGGCAACTGACTCAGACTGGATGGTGAGCTGGGCAGAGGGCGGGGTGGGGCGGGTGGCAGCTCCGGGCCCTGCTTTCAGGGGTTCATGGCTCATGGCGGCTGGGGACCCCCGCCTTTCTGGCCAGGTCTGCGGCGGGGGCCCGGCACTCACCCTCTGGCACCTGCGGTCCTCCACACCCACCACCATCTTCCCCATGCGGGCGCCACAGAAGCATGTCACCTTCTACCAGGACCTGGTAGGCCCTCTCTCTCCTTCTGCCACCCCTGCCTGGCTCCCGTCTCCAGCCCTGACACCCAGCCCCCTCTTGCTCTCCACAGATTCTGTCGGCTGGCCAGGGCCCCTGTGTCAACCAGTGGCAGCTAAGCGGGGAACTCAAGGCCCAGGTGCCAAGCTCTTCCCCAGGGCTGCTCAGCCTCAGCCTCAACCAGCAGCCAGCGGCCCCCGAGTGCAAGGTGGGTCTGGCGAGGGGCTGAGGTTCCGGGAGGCTGGGGGTGGGCAGGGCCCTCACACCTCTCTTGTGTCCAGGTTCTGACAGCCGCAGGCAACAGCTGCCGGGTGGATGTCTTCACCAACCTGGGCTACCGTGCTTTCTCCCTGTCGTTCTGACCCGTCAACATCCCTTCACTCTGGGGCTGGGAGTGCCTTTTCTCTTTTCTTTTTTTACAAATAAAGTTTCTAACGTTTCTTCCATGTGCTTCTTTCTCAAGAACAGAGACCAAGCTGCTGTCGTGATTTATATATTACTCTGTCCAATCTTGATACATAAATACCCACCGTCCTCCTGCCCTGGAGAGGGCCCAGTGCTTAGAAAAGATAGACCTATAGATCCCTAAGGTAGGCAGCTCTGCCCCCCCAACCCGCGTCTGGCCCCTGGCCCCCAAAGCTGGCCCCTGCTCCCTGTGAGCCCCTGCCCAGCTTTCGGGGTGGAGAGGGCGCCAGCCACCCTCGGAACACTGGGCGTTCTGTGGCTCCATTGGTGGCCCTCACGTCCTTCGGAAGAGGTTGCCGAGGAAGCCGCCTGCGGGCCCGGAGCCCGGGCGCAGCGAGAAGCGGGCCGAGGTGCGGCGCGGGGAGGAGCCGGCGGTGCTCAGCTCCTTTTGGCGCTGCAGGCGCAGCTGCTGTCCGATCACCACCTGCATGTCGTCCTGCAGCCAGCGGGATCGGACTGTCAGCGTGCCGGCCCCGCCCCCTAAGGCCCCGCCCCTGACCCCGCCCCCGCCCCTCACCTGCCAGTCCTCCAGCTCCTGCGTCAGCGCCACCTTCTGGCGGATGGCGCGCAGCAGCTCCCTGGACAGGGAGTCCCGCTCCAGAGAGACGCGGCCGAGCTCCAGGGACAGCTCCAGGGCCCTGCGGGCGGAAGGGGTGGGGAGTGTGTCCGAGGGTGCTGGGGCCTCAGCGAGCGGGGGTCGCGAGGGGCTTCTGGACCCGGGCAGGAGACCAGGGAGTGGAGGAACTTGAGGCCTCGCAGGGCCCGAGCGCCGTGGGGGCCTGTAGCCCAGCGCGGGCAGTGGTGAGTGGTGGCGGAGACTCACTTGTTCACGGCCTCGTCCCGATCCAAGAGGGCGCCGCTCAGGGCCTCCTCAGAGTCCACCTGCTCTCGCAGCTCCTTCTGCCGCTGCAGCTCCTCCCGCAGAGACTGCAGCTCCGCCCGCTGCAGTGCGATCTGCGGGAGGGGAGGGGCAGCGAGGCAGATGGGCTCCCGGGCCTCCCAGCCCCTGCCCCTCCTGGCACCCTGGCTGCGGCCCCGTGGCCCTGTGCGAGGGGCTCAGATGAGTTCCCTCGGCTGATGCGCGGGTGGGGGCAAAGCCTGCAGGAGAAATGCGGGGAGACGTATGGGGGGGCGGGGCTAACGGGGGGGTGCGGCCCAGGAAGTCATCCTGGAGGAGGTGGCATAGAGGCTGCCTCTAGAAGCATGACTGCTGGTCTGTTGGGATGGGATGAAGGGCAATCCAGGTGGAGGGGGCTTAGTGGGCAAAGGCTCGGAGCGGAGGTGGAGGTAGGAGGGAGAAAGTGACAGCGGGGAGGGGCTCCGGATCCAACACTATGGCCTCCGCGCACGCGCACAACCTCATCCTGCAGCCTGGCCACTTCAGCCTCCCTCTCCTCCACCGTCTCCGCTGTGCTCAGAGTTGCTCGCTTTTTGGGGGGCTCCAAGTTCTCCTCCTGGAGCGAAGGCTGCGGGCTGGAAGACTCTTGGGGCTCCGGGGAAAGGGTCGTCTACGAGTCAAAGGAACGGGTCAGTGCGGGTCGAACTTCATGGGACCAGGAGGAGCAGCGGAACCTGCGCCCCTCACGGGACGGCGCGAGTGCGGGGCTGCCGGGCCTGGAGCTCACCAGGGCGTCTCCGTGTCTGTCTGGGTCCTGGTCCTGGTCGCCGTCGAGGCTGCGGGCAAGTTCGCACTGCAGGGAGGCGCCCGACACGTCGGCTTCCCGGAAGCGGGATTCCTCCTCCAGCTCCGAGACCCGCCGCTGCAGCCTCTGCAGGGCGCTCAGAGCCTCCCCGGCCTCGAAGCGCGCGCGTTCCAGCTGCGGACCGACCGACCGACAGAAAGACGGAGGCCGCGGCGGTCAGCCAGGCGCGCCGGGGCCCGCCCACAAGGTGGCGCCGGAGCGACTCACAGCGGCCGAGCGCAGCCCCGGGTCCCCATCCCCGGGAACCCGGCCGGCTCCGCCCCTGCAGCGTCACTGCGCCGCCTAGGGCCAATTTCTTACCAGTAAAGCAGGGTGCGGCCGGGTGTCCCAGCTCTAGTCTCCCATCACCTTTTCCCCACACTAACCTGGTCAGATCACCTTGCAAAGCCCCCACCCGCGCCCTCCTCGCCGGCTCCACCTTCTGACATTTACTGATCCTTTCTTCTCAACCAGGCGTGGCGCTGAGCGTCACCACAGCCCTTTGAGGTAGGTGTCATTACCATCCCATCTCACAGATGGGGAAACTGAGGCTCGGGCTTCCCACAACAGTAAGCTGGGAGCCGGGATAAGAATCCAGGCAATCTGATCGAAAGTCCAAGCTCGGGAGACCTCAAACGGAAGGCCACGCTGTCTCTTAGTTCCCTTTCCGCTGCCCCTGTCCAGGTCCCCACGTCTCTGCCTGACCCTCCCCTTTCAGTCTTAGCCTCCTCCCTGCCCTCCAGCTGCCCAGCTCTGACCTACTCTAGGCAGGTGATCCTCCCCTGCTCAAAAGACTTCCAGGGCTCCCACTTGCTCTCCAGCTGAGGTCTATGCTCTGCGGCCGATTGTCGGGGCTCCCAGGGACCCAGGTCTGGCACGCTCATCTCCCAGAAAACCGGGACAGTGGCCGAGAGTCGAACTGGGTGCCCCCAGCTGTGCGGTCACCTCCAGGCTGTGCTCCCGCCGCTCCCGCCGCAGCACCAGCAGCTCTTCGTGGGTGGCCTGCAGCTGGCCCTGGCTCTTCTCCGCCTCCTCACGCAGGCCCCGGATCTGGGCCTCCAGGTCCTGCCGGCGACTCTGTAGCATCTTGTTCTGGGGAAAGACCTCCAAGCTGGGGGGCGGAGGTGCTGTACCAGCCCCAGACAGCCCCAGCCCAGCCTTCTGCTCAGAGAGGCCCCAGCCCCACACGGCACTCACCTCCCCATGCAGACTCTCCAGCCGCGTCCTCAGCTCTGCCCCAGCCAGGGCCTGCGCCTGGCACTGCCCTCGAAGGGTGTCCAGTTCTCTCTGAAGCTCCTGCTCCGTCTGGGAGGCCTAGGGGAGTGGGTGGAGCCCTCAGCTGGCTCAAACCTCAACACCAAGCCCAGTGCACCCACCCTACTCCAGGGACCAGGGGAGCAAGGGACCGGGCTGCCCACCCACCTGGGCCAGCTGCTGGCTGAGCCGGAGGTTCTGCTCACTGAGCTCACCGAGGGCCCGTGCCCGCTCACGCCCACTGTCCCGCTGCTCTGAGCGCTGCTCCCCGAGCTGGACCCGCAGGGCCTCCACATCCCCCTCCAGCTCCACAGCCCTGGCCTCCCACTCGGCTCCCCGGGCTGCCAGGCCCCGGCGGAGCTCATGGTTCTCCTGCTGCAGCCGCTGTGGGGCCGGAACAAGGGCCAGAGTCAGGGAGGGGACATGAGACGGGGCGGACACAGGAAGATAGGACAGAGGGACAGAGACCCAGCGAGAGAGGAGAGGGTCGGGGAGGAGGAGGCAAAGAGGGCGAACCCCAGAGCCTTAGGGAGAAGCAGGTGGAGGGGGAGTGGTAGAGAAGGTGCCAGGCCAGGCAGGAGGGCTGCCCTCGGGGCCTGTTCCCCAGCGTTCCCTCACCTTTGGCTGCTGCCTGGGCTTCTGAATCCCTGGTCGCAGGCGCCATTTCTGGCGCCGGAGATGGTTGGAATTCAGGCCCCGGCCCCTGGCCTCACACCTGCTGTGCTCTGGGCACTCTGGAGGCTCAGCCTCCGCCCAGCCCCTCTCCCCCAGCTCCTCGGGGCCAGTCCCCTCTAACAGTGGTCAGCCCCACCCTGGCCCCACGCCTCCGCCTGCCCCCCCCCCAAAACCAGTCCAACTAGTGAGGGGGATGCGCAGGGCACACCCAGAGGCCCAGCGTGGGGAGGCAGTTCAGCTGGGGGGCCGGCCCGGGGCCCCCACTCTCTCCAGCCCTCAGAACGGAAGGATCTGGGCCCAGATGATGTTACCAGTTGCCGCTACAAAGAGTAACTGGCAGCTTGTTATAATCGACCAGGTCCGGTACGAGCGCTTTACTGCATTATCTCATTTAACACGCCAGAGGTAGAATCCTTAACACCCCCATTTTGCCGATGAGGAAGCTGACGCTCAGAGAGGTTAAATGCTTTGCCCAAGGACACATGGTGAGTTAGTGGAGCAGGGATTCCAACCCAGGCAGTTAAGCTCTTAACCAAATACTGTCGCGGCATCACAGCCCAAGGATTCAGCTGGCAAGTTCGGGTGTCCCATTGTTCTGGCTGTTATGTGGTCAGGCAAGTCCCTTAATATTTCTGAGCCCCATGCATCCATCCACGCAGTCAGTATTTCCTGAGCTCCTGCCATGTTCTGAGTTCTGTCCATCAGCAATAATCGAAGCCACCAAGTTCACTATCAAGTAGCTTAGATCCAGAGGGCAAGGGAGACCAAAAAAAAAAACCAAACCGTTGCTGTCAAGTCGATTTCGACTCATTGTGACCCTATCGGACAGAGTAGAACTGCCCCATAGGGTTTCCAAGGAACGGCTGGTGGATTTGAACTGCCAGCCTTTTGGTTAGCAGCCGAGCTCTTAACCACTACGCCACCAGGGAGACCAGTCGTGGGCAAATAGACTCCTTCTTGAACCAGGTCTTTTCAGAGGGATGGAAGGGCTGTAAAGAAACCCTGGGAAGTGATTAAGAGTGAGGAAGGAGCCAGGTAGGCTAGGGCCTCCTTCCCCCAAAGGGTGCTGTCTGAATTGACTCCTGCAGGGCAAGAAGGAACCAACCAGGAAGAATGCACAAACCGAGAAACGGCCTGTGCAAAGGCCCCGTGGCACAAGTCCGAGTTATTCCAGGAACTGAAAGGGCCCGGGCAGAAGTGGGTGCAGGAGAGGGCTGTGTGACCAGGATGAAGTCAGGGAGGCCCGAGGGCCGGGCCCCGTGGGGACTTCCAGCACACGCAAGGAGTGTCTGTGCCAGCCTCAGGGTGAGGAAGCGCATGGGCAGCTGCCGGGCAAGCAGTGGATTGGTGTGATCCGCAAGTTCCCAAGCTCCCCCTGGCTTCCCCGCGGAGAACAGGCTCCAGGGCAAAGAGTGGAAGCCGTGTGCGGGACGGAGGCCGTGCTGGAGCATCTTAGGAGGTGCTGGTGGCTGCAGAGGCGATGATAGTGAGTGGATTTGTATCTAGTTTAGAAGGGAATCGCCAGTGCTTAAAGGCGTGGGGGAGAGAGCGAGAGAGCAGTCCCGGAGATGTGTACCCTGAGATGGGAAGCTGACCGGGGACACAGGGGTGGGGTTAAGGAACCAAGAGTGCTGCTTCGGTTGGGACCCCACTCGGGGGCCTGGGGCCCAGGGCAGTGATTGGGGCCGATAACGCAGACACGGGCGTCAGTGGTGTGAGGGATCCTTAGGGGGTCAGATGTGCCCCTGGGTGAGAGTGTGGCTGGCAGCGGAGCCCAGGCCGAGGCGGAGAGCAGCTCTTGCCTTATAGGCTTGGGCAAGAGTGAACTGAGATGGGTCCAGACCAGCGCTGAGCCCAGGGCCCGGTAACTGAGGTCTCACGATTCAGAGAGGGCCAGCGGCTTGCCCAGGCCACATAGCCAGGCAGGGGTTTGAGCCCAGGCCTCGACTTGTCCTCAGAGCCCATGCTCTGGACCACCGAGCCACACTGCCAGGGGGACAGGGCTGAGCCGGGAACTGGTCCAGAGGCGTCTTTCTTCCTGGCTGTCATCCTTGTGCACCTGCCCACCTGCCCGCCCCCTGCCAGTCTGTCCTCCCCTTTGTCTGGCCCCTTCACCTGCCCACCCCTGCCTGATTGTCTTCCCTACCCAGTGTTCTCCCCCGACTCACCTGCGCACCTGCCTGCCCCCTGCTCACTTGCACTCTGCCCACCTGTCCTCGCTCCGCAGCCCCGCCCTCCCTGTTCCCTGACCCTCGGCCCAGGTCCCCGTAGCTCACTTCCTCATGCTCGGAGTGCTGGGTGCTCAGCGTCTCCAGCTGCTGCCGCAGCTCCTCATTCCGCTCCAGGAGCATCTTGCCGAGCTCAGCAGCCAGCAGCAGGTCTTTCTCCTTACGCTGCAGCTGCAGGGCCAGGTCCTCGGGCTCCTCAGGCCCGGGGCCGCCTCCCAGGAAAGAGTCACGCCGCTCCAGCACGAAGGGGAAGAAGCCCTCGTCACCGCTGGGGGAGGCGCCCCCCGAGAGCAGCCCCGATGGGAGGCTTGGCCCATTCGGGGAGCTCATGGTGCCTTCAGCATCTGTGGGGACAGGTCGCTGCAGGCCACTCCACTCTGCAGCCCGACAGGGTTTATCCCCCTGCTGGCCAAGACCTGGCCTGCCTTCTGGTATCCACCTGGCCACCTGGTCCTCCCAGCCCTACAGGCAGGGCCTCCCTGGGCCAAGAAGGGCCAATGATCTGTGTCTTGCCTACCCAGCTCCGTTGGTGTCCCCAGGGTAAACTGAGGCAGGGAACCAAAGGAAATGAGCCAGCTTGCCTTTGCCTGTGCCAGACACTCTTTGCCTCAGGAAACCTCGTTCCAGTGCTTGGGGACCACAGGCCACCCCACCAGGAGTTTCTGCCCCCAGCTGTTCTGGCCCCCAGCCCCTGACAATCTGGGAAACTCAGCTCATTTTCTCAGAACCCCGGGTTCTTCAGGACTCAGGACGCAAAGAGGAATCCGGCCCCTCTCCTCCCAGGAATCCAGGACCCTAGCCCTTGGGAACTCAAGGATCCCGATCTGCCACCCCCAGGCGCCCAACCCCCTCCCCTTCCAGAAGCCTAGGATTGATGTCCCGGTCTCCAGCCCCCGCCCTCTCGGGTATCCTGGCCCTCATGCTGCCGATGTCTCAGGACTAGGGTGTTCCAGCTCCCACCCCGCCAGAGTCAGAGGTCCAGCATCTACCCTTCCTGGAATTCCCAGCCCAGTCCCCAATTTTCGCCGGCCCCAGGCCTTCTGGCCCCCACCCCTGGGGACTCAGGTGTCCTGACTCCCAGCCCTCCCCTCTGCAGTGACGCCCCAGCCCCCAGTTTCCCAGGGCTTAGGCGTCAGGCCCAGGCTGGGCGAGGTAACAGGTTGTGCCGGCCGCGCCGCAGGTACGGCTCCGGGTTTCTGTTTACTTCCCGGCCCGCCCCTGGGACCCAGAGCCCGCCGCTCCCCTGGGGCGCCCAGGCCCGGCGGCCCAGGGGCTCCGGAGGGCCCGACGCGCGGGGCTTCCCCGGGAGCTCCCCCTCCGCCTCCGGAGGCCCCCAGCCCCTTCCTCCAATACACACACACGCACACCTGTTTCTCCCCGCCTCCCCGCGCCAGGTGCAGAAGCCCACACCTGCCTGCAGGACCCAGGTGTCGCGGTGGTCCCAGCCCAGCCGGAGGTGTCGGGGCCCCCAGCCCCCCTACCCTCGGCCCCAGGGTCTGAAGCCCAGCCGGTCTTCCTCTCCCCCGGCAGCCTTCGGCTTCCGGGCCCCGGGAGTCCGGCAGCCCGCCCCGCTCCCGCATCCCTCCTTTCGCGCCGACACCGCCCGGCCCATCCTGCCCGAGTCTCGAAGCCCCTGCCGTCGGCGCCCCGCCTGGGCTCTCACCCGCCGCTGCCGGCCCGACTCCGACTGAAGTCCCCGCGGTCCTGGGTCCCCTCTTCCGGAGGCAGTGCCAGGTGCGCAGCCCGCACAGGTGAGGGGGCGGGGCGGAGGGCGGGGCTGGGGCGCTCCCTGGTGGCCGGAATGGCCAGGCGGGGCCGAAAGAAAGTCGCCTCCGCCCTGGTCAGCGGCATCTCGAGGCCGTCGGAAATGACCGAATGAGCACCTACTGCGTGCAGGCCCTACGCTGAGTCTAGACGTTGGCTCCTGTCCCCTCACCAGCGCCTGTGGAGAAGGAAGTTAGTAACAACGATGGTAACAACAAAGCTGATCTTAAGCTCTCCGGTAAGTAAGCTCTTCATAGGCGTTTCCCTTCATGATGACCTAATGGAGCAGAGCTATTATCCCCATTTTACAGATGAGGAAACCGAGGCTCAGGGAAGTCATCTGACTTGCCCAGGGTCACACGGGCAGAACTCGAATACGAACCCCAGAAGTGTGACGTTAAGGTCTGTGCTCTTAGACTGATGCCCACGCTCCAGATGAGGAAATCGAGGCTCAGTCAGTTTAAGTGAGTTGCTCAGAGCCACACCTTAGTCCACATAGCTCCACACTCCAACAAGGCTCCTGAGCTGTGCAGAGCTGGGCACCTGCTCCAGTCAGGGACAGAGTGCTGGAGGTGGAGGCTGCGAGGAGCCAGGCCTGGGGCCTGGGGCTTGGGGTCCAGCCCCAGTGCAGCCTGGGCGTGCAGTCATGTTCCAGCCAGACCTTGGACAAACGGAGAGCTGGGGCAATGGTGTGCTGGTAGATGTTTAACAACAGTCTCTCGGGGATGGGGAGGACTGACTTGTAGCATTTGCCAATTTCCCTGGTGTAAATAGTCCCTCCACTGCTGATTTCAAGCTACAGACATGACATCACTGAATTAGAAGTTGGCAGGAGATGTGTGCAATCAGCTTTTGCCAGCTAGGATCAGCTGGCTCCAGCTCACATCTGGATGGGGGCCAGGACTCCTGAGTGTTGGGGGCCTGGGGGCCTAGATACCAGGTGGGAGCTAGGACTCCTGTGTTGTGGAGAAGTGGGCGCAGGGCCTCCTGGGTTGGGAACCAGGAATCCTAGGTCCTAGGGCGAGGACAAGGATTCTCGCCAGCAGACGGTTGTCATGTGCCATCGAGTCAACTCCGACCCTACATGACAGAGTAGAACTGCTTCGTAGGATTTCCTAGGCTGTAATTTTTACTGGAGCAGATCCCCAGGTCTTTTCTCCTGCGGAGCTGCTGGGTGGGTTTGCAGCTGAGCACTTAACCAGTGAGCCACCAAGACAGTGTTGTTGTTAGGTGCAGTTGAGTCGGTTCCGACTCATAGCAACCCTGTGTACAACAGAACGAAACACTGCCTGTTCCTGCGCCATCCTCACAACACTTGTTATGCTTGAGCTCATTGTTGCACCTACTGTGTCAATCCATCTCCTTGAGGGTCTTCCTATTTTTTGCTGACCCTCCACTTTACCAAGCTTGTTGTTTTTCTCCAGGGACTGGTCCCTCCTGATAACATGTCCGAAGTACGTGAGACGAAGTCACTCCATCCTTCCTTCTAAGGAGCGTTCTGGCTGTTCTTCTTCCGAGACAGATTTGTTTGTTCTTCTGGGATATTCAATATTCTTCCCCAACACCGTAATTCAAAGGCATCAATTCTTCTTGAGTCTTCCTTATTCAGGCGCCAATTACTTTGGAAGGGGAGCTGAAGACTTATGTTGACGCTGCATTGCCTAGCAAGCCCACCGTTTTCTCCCGCCGCACCTGGAAGCGGAAGATGTGGGCTCACCCTGCACTTCACCCACGCCACACCCACATTTAGTGCAGGCTTCCCGATCTTCCTCCTGCTCAGCCTAGGCTGAGCTCCTCTGGCCAAGGTCCTGCTCCTAGGAGGTTCACAGTCTGTTGTGGGAGGGGACGTAGATCCATAAACAAGAAATGAACCAATAAAACAATGGAGCAAAGGAGCTTGGCTGTGGGCGCTGGCATCACCTGGCTTCAGTACAGATCCCAGCTTGGCCACTTACTAGGCAGCTCAGCTAATTAAGCTCTGCAGGCCTCAGTTCTCCCATCTGTAAAATGGGGGTGATGAGAGTTCTTAGTTTATAGAGCTGAAGATTACATGAGGTAATCCGCGTGAAGGGCCAGTAGGTAATCCTTGCTAGTGATCCCCCGTGTGGCAACAATAGGTGACTCATCCGCAGGATACCTGGGATTTCATCCTCACAGCAACCCCATGAGGTCACGCCGTTGTCATCCTCCCAGTTCATAGACAAGGAAACTAGCTCAGGCGGGTGAAGTGACTTGCTGTGGGCACCCGGCAGAGTTTTTGCCCCAGCTTGCCTGGCTCCGAGCCCTGGAGTGGAACAGATGCATTCTGCTTGACCCCTGGGGCCTTGGCATAGGCTGCCCAAGGCATCATGACATCCAAGAGGACTTCCTGGGCAGGAGGCACCTGAGCCCCAGGGCTCCTGTGGCAGATGGGAAGGTGTACAAGATATGCGTGTACAAGGTATTACCTGCTGAGCGGAGGGTGATCATAGGCCAGGAGCTTCCAGGAAGCTGGCTTGTTTGGGAGATGGGGTGGGGGGAGGCAGGTGACCCCTTCTTGTCGGGACTTGTCCCTACCCTCCTCCGGGCCTCCCTGGGGCTGCTCTGCCCCTTCTTATCTCTCTTCCTTACCCAGCCTCAGAGGGCTGTGCTTTCCTTCTGGAAGAAGCAAGGCAGAAAAATATAGAGAACAAGAGAAGAAACAGCCGCGTTCTCAGCACCAAGAATTAACAAAGGTTAGCGTGTTATCCGATTTAATAGTGATCTTTTTAAAAATAACGTAAACACGACAGTTGCTGACCCACTGGCCCCCCTGCCCTCCTGGCTCCCCCGACAGAGGCAGCTCTGTGCGGAAGGGCTAGATTCCAGACTAAGGTACCTTGAGGCTTTTACAAAATATACGAAGTCTATGGACGATAAGCAGTATTGTTTGGAGTATTTACAATCCTCGTATAAAAGATTTGTTCTGCAGTTTGCTTTTCTCATTTAACCTTATGTGTCTAAGTTTTCCCTCGACTTTTAAAAGAATCAGCTTCACAGAGGTATGATGAATATTATATATACTACCTGTTGCCATTGAGTCAGTTCCAACTCCTGGTGCCCCCGTGTGTTACAGAGTAGAACTGCTCCATAGGGTTTTCTTGGCTGTAATCCTTATGGGAGCGGTTGCCAGGCCTTTTTTCTGCAGCATCTCTGGGTGTCTTTGAACCACCAACCTTTAGGTTAGTAGTTGAGCTCAAGCCATTTGTGCCACCCAGGGACCTCTATTGCATAGAATAAAATTCACCAATTTTAATACTTAATTTGGTGCGTTTCGGCAAATGTACTCGATAGCATCACCACCAGCACAGTCACGGGGCAGAACATTTCCATCACCCCAGAAAGTTCCCTGTGCCCCTTTGCAGTCAATCCCTCGCCCTGCCCCTGGCCTCCAGCAGCCATTGATCTGCTTTCTGTCATGATGGTTTTGCCTTTTCTAGAATGCCGAATAAACAGAAATCATACAGAATGACATCTCTTCTGTCTGATCTCTTTGACTTAATAAAATGCTTCTCTGACTCACCCATGTTGTTTCAGTGGAATCGGTGGGTTTCAGGAGTTTTGAACCTAAGGAGAGTTGCCAGAATAGCACAACGATTACCCACAGCTCAGACTCACAAATTTGCTACATTTGCTTTATGTCCTTACGTTTTGCTAAACCTTTTGATACTTGAGCTTGCATCTCCTGAGGACAAGGCATTCTCCCACATAATCACACATTATTATCACAGCTGAGAAATTGAACATTGGTACAAGAGATGCAATAATCTTATCCAATATGTAGCCTATGTTCAAATTTTCTCAGTAATATCTTTTGTAGTTTTTTGGATCCAGGATCCAATCAAGTGTCTCTTTAGTCTCCTTTAATAGAAAACAGCCCCCTTGTCTTTTTTTTTTTTTAAAATAATGTTTCATTGTGTTTTCAGTGAAGATTTATACAGAAGTTTAGCTTCCCACTCAACAATTTCTACACAAGTTCTTCAGTGATATTGGTTACATTCTTTACAATGTGTGAACATTCTCATATTTTCGTTTGGTTCTTCTGTATCCATAATCTAGTTTCCCTGCCCCCTTCCAGTCTCATCTTTGTTTTAAAGTAATTCTTGACCGTTTGATCTCACATAGGTGATTTTTTAAAGGAGCACAGTACTTATGGGTGATATTCATTATTTATTTTAGGAATCTGAGGTTCTGTTCCATGTTTTTCTCCCATTCTATTAGGGTCTCTGTATTGTGGCCCTGATTGGAACTGTCAGTAGTGGTAGCCGGGCACCATCTAGTTCTTCTGGTCTCAGGGTCGACCTCTTGCCTTCCGATTGATCTTTCAGGACATTGACTTTTTATTTTTTCATCTTTAAAAATTGTCATAAAATATATACAACAAAAATTTGCCATTTTAACCATTTTTTAAGTGCACAACTCAATGACATTAATTACATTCCCATCGTGTTGTGCAACCATTTCCAAAAGTTCTTCATCACCCCAAACAGAAACTCAGTATCCATAAAACAATGACTTCCCATGTCCTCCTCCCACCCGCCCCTGGTAACCACTAATAAACTTTGGTCTCTATGCATTTGCCTAGTCTAGATATTTCATCTAAGTGGGATCATACGATATTTGTCCTGTTACGTTTGCCTATTTTACTCAACACAAATGTTTTCAAGGTTCATCCATGTAGTAGTAGAATATATCAGAACTTCATCTCTCTTTATGGCTGAATAATATTTTTTTTGTGTGTATGTGCCACATTTTGTTCATCCATTCACCTGTTGATGGACTCTTGGGTTGTTACCACCTTTTGGCTACTGTGAAATGCTGCAATGAACAGCGGTGTACAAGTAACTGTTTGAGTTCCTGTTTTCATTTCTTTGAGAGTACAAGGACAATGACATTTTTGAAAAGTCCAGGCAGTTGTTTCGCAGAATGTTTCAGAGATTTATCTAGACTGCTGCGTATGGGTTTCCACCTCAATTTACTTATTTATTCTCCAGTCAGTGAGCATTTAAGCTTTTTGAACATGTTCAATGTTGTAAACAACATTTCAATGAACATCCTTGTACACAGATCTCCACGGACACATGGGTGGAGTCTCACTGTGTCATGCACCTCGAAGGGGAATTAGTGGGTGGAGGCTATGCCTGTGATCAAGTGCTCTATAACAATCATTCCACAATTTAAAGGTTTAAAACAACAATTCATTTTTTTATCTTGTTGTTTGGAGGTTTGACAGGGTTCTGCTGGCTGGTTCTGCTGCTGGGATTTCACGTGGTTGCAGGCCGATGGTGGCTGGGGCTGGAGCCATCAGAAGGCTTCTTCACACCCATGTCTGGTGCCTGGGTTGGGATGGCTGCATCAGCTGGGGCTGGTGAGCATTTTTCTCCCCACGCATGGCTGTCTCAGACTTTGTCTTAGCTATCTAGTGCTGCTGTAACAGAAATACCACAAGTGGGTGGCTTTAATGAACAGAAATTTATTTTCTCACAGTTTATAAGGCTAAAAGTCTAAATTTAGGGCGCAGTCTCTAGGGGAAGGCTTTCTCTCTCTTTTGGCTCCGGGGGAAGGCCCTTGGCTCTCTTCAGTTTCTGTTCCTCAGTCCCTTAATGATCCTCATGTGGAGTGGCATCTATCTTCCCCCATCCGTGTTTTGATGGTTCTTGTATCTCCAAAGTGATTGGTTTAAGACAACCCTGCACTGATATGGCCTAATTAAAAGGAAACCCTATTCCCAAATGGGATTACATCCACAGGTATAGGGGTTAGGATTTACAGCACATATTTTTGGGGGACACAGTTCAATCCATACCAAACTTCTCACATGGCAGCTGCCTACTCCTAAAGCCAGGTTCCAAGAGGACCAGGGAGAAGCTGCAAGACTTCTTAAGACTCAGTACAGAGGTGCTGGAACACTCATTTCCACAGCATTCTGCTGGCCAAGCAAGTCTCTTGAGTCCAGCCCAGATTCAAGGGGCGAGGGTTAGAGTCCACCTCTCAAGGGGAGCAGTAACAAAGACTCCGCAGCCATCTTTAATCTACCATAGAGACTATGCTCGTCAGCTGCAATATTGCCAAACTGGTTTCCAAAGTGTAGGTATTAATTTACACTCTCAGACTCCATTTTTAATGTTCTACTGCTGGCAGCTTTCAAGCCTCACCCCTTGCCCCATATCTGGGCAGGCTGGTAAGAATACCCTGATTCTCTCTCTTGCAGTGGAAGGAAGTTTAAATCATGCAAGCCCTGGCCAGTGTAGGGGGAACCCTCACCCCCTAACCACAACTGAAACTCCTCCTTGCCCTCTGAACCGATATTCGGACCTGCCTGGGAGCCTACGCCGCTCCACCTAGAAAGTGTCATTATGTGAGCAATCAGTCTCTTCATGTGCTTTTGCTGTGTGTGGCACCAGGAGTCTCAACATTTAAATCAAATTTTGGGTGGAGGGGGGATCCCATCACGGGGCCATCACAAAGCACACTCCTATGAGCAGAGCGTGAATTTCGTCTGGCTACACCTGCCCAATACTTGGCATCATCAGATTTTTTCATTTTTGCCAATCTGATGGCAAAAGGGGGAAAAGGGGACTTCAGTGTTTTAGTTTGTCTCCCCAGCTAGCTCATCGTGCTCACTCACTGTTGTTGTTAGGTGCCGTCAAGTCGGGTCCGACTCACAGCCACCCTGTGTACAACAGAACGAAACACTTGCTGGTCCCGCGCCATCCTCACAATCATTGCTATATTTGAGCCCATTGTTGCAGCCACTGTGTCAGTCTATCTCATTGAGGGTCTTCCTCTTTTTCACTGACTCTCCACTTTACCAAGCATGATGTCCTTCCCCAGGGCCTGGTCCCTCCTAATAACATGTCTAAAGTACGTGAGATGAAGTCTCGCCATCCTCGCTTCCAAGGAGCACTCTGTCTGTACTTCTTCCAAGACAGACTTGCTCATTCTTTTGGCAGTCCATGGTATATTTGATATTCTTCACCAACCCCATAATTCAAAGGCATCAGTTCTTCGGACTTCCTTATTCATTGTTCAGCTCTCATATGCATATGAGGTGATTGAAAATACTAAGGCTTGGGTCAGGCTCACCTTGGTCCTCAGAGTGACATCTTTGCTTTTTAACACTATGAAGAGGTCTTTTGCAGCAGATTTGCCCAGTGCAATACATCGTTTGATTTCTTGACTGCTGCTTAGAAGGGGGTTGATTGTGGATTCAAGTAAAATGAAAACTTTGACAACTTCAATATTTTCTTCATTTATCATGGTGCTGCTTATTGGTCCAGTTGTGAGGATTTTTGTTTTCTTTATATTGAGGTGTAATCCATACTGAAGTCTGTAGTCTTTGATCTTCATCAGTAAGTGCTTCAAGTCCTCTTTGATTTCAGCAAGCAAGGTTGTGTCATCTGCATATTGCAGGTTGTTAATGAGTCTTCCACCAATCCTTCTCTATATGGTCCAGCTTCTCAGAGTATCTGCTCAGCATACAGATTGAGTAAGTATGATGAAAGGATACAACTCTGACACACACCTTTCCTGATTTTAAACTACAAAGTATCCCCTTGTTCTGTTCCAATGACTGCCTCCTGGTCTATGTACAGGCTCCTCATGAGCAAAATTAAGTGTTCTGGAATTCCCATTCTTCACATTGTTGCCTACAATTTGTCATGATCCACAGTTGAATGCCTTTGCACAGTCAACAAAACACAGGTAAACATCTTTCTGGTATTCTCTGCTTTCAGCCAAGATCCATCCGACGTCAGCAATTATATCCCTTGTTCCATGTCCTCTTCTGAATCCGCCTTGAATTTCTGGCAGTTTCCCATCCATGTACTGCTAAAATCGTTTTGTAATTATCTTCAGCAAAATTTTACTTGTGTGATATTAATGATATTATTTGATAATTTCCAAATTCTGTTAGATCACCTTTATTTGGAATGGGCACAAATATGGATCTCTTCCAGTGGGTTGGCCAAGTAGCTGTCTTCCAAATTTCTCGGCATAGACGAGTGAGTACCTCCAGTGCTGCATCCGTTTGTTGAAACATGTCAATGGGTGTCCCCTCAGCTCCTGGAGCCTTGTTTTTCACCAATGCCTTCAGTGCAGCTTGGACTTCTTCCTTCAATACCAGCCACTCTTGATCATATGCTACCTCCTGAAATGATTGAACATCCACCAATTCTTTTCGGTACCGTGACTCTGTATTTCTTCCATCTTCTTTTGATGTTTCCTGCGTCGTTGAATATTTTCCCCATAGAATCCTTCAATCGTGCAACTTGAGGCTTGAATTTTTTCTTAAGTTCTTTTAGCTTGAGAAATGCCCAGCGCATTCTTCCTTTTTTGGTTTTCTAACTCCAGGTCTTTGCACATATCATGATAATACGTTGTCTTCTCAAGCCGCCCTTTGAAATCTCTTCAGCTCCTTTACTTCATCATGTCTGCCACTTGCTTTAGCTACTCTACGATCAAGAGCAAGTTTCAGAGTCTTTTCTGTCATCCGTTTTGGTTTTTTCTTTCTTTCCTGTCTTTTTAATGACCTTTTTGCTCACTCACATCCTCCCCTGTTCCCCCTCCTGGCTGCTCAGAGATTTAAGCTGTTTAACTCGCACTCACTGCGGGGAGGCCCCCCACGCCGCCAGGAGGGGCCTCCCTTCCCGGATTGCTCCTTCCTCCGCATCCTTCTCTGGCTGCGCGGCCCCCGACGGCGCCCCGGCCCCTAGGTCTCCGCCTCCCGGATCTACTCCTCCGGCGACCAGCGGCGTCTGACGCCCCTGCATTCTCTTATCCCTCCCCCTCCCCCCTCCCCGCGCCTGGCATGGGGCAGGTTCTCGGCTTCTGTGTGCCTTTGATCTGACTTTAAACGTCCAGAACTTGGGGAGTGGGCCGCGCGGTTCTCGGCGGTGCCTGGGGTCTGGGACGTGGAGATGCCGAGACCCGCGTGTACGAGACGGAGCCCCGCGCGCAGCCTACGGGACCGCAGGGGGCGCTGGCGAGGCCGATGGGGGGCTGCTGGGGACCCCCGCGGGGAAGGAAAGGCTGCTGGGGACCCCCGCGGGGAAGGAAAGGCTGCTGGGGATCCCCGCGGGGAAGGAAAGCCGAGCCGAGGCGCCGGCTTCCGTGCTCCCGCCCCTAGCGCCTGCTTCCCAGCCTCCTGCGGCCGCTGGGTCCTGGGGAGGCGGTGGGGGAAGAACCGCGCTGCCTCCGCCGGGCTGGTCCTGGGAAAGCAGAAGCGAGCCCTGTTCTGAGAGTCCCGCGAGCCGTGATCCTGGAAGAGAAACCAGGGGCGGGCGCAGGAGGAGAAACCCGGCCGCCGTCAGACCTCGCGCTTGGACGGGCCGCCAGCAGGGTCCCAGTGGGGACGGAGGGCCACCGCATGGACGCGGAGCCTTGACGGTTACGGCACTTCCCCTGCCGCGCGGCTGCGGGTTTTCGGGGTGCGCCCGCCCTGCCCCGCCCTACACGGAGGAGGGGGACGGCCCGCGCGCACCCAGGCCACGACAGGACCCGGCCCGGGACCCCGAGAGCCGCCGCAGCCATCTGGAGTCCAGACCTCCGCTGCTTTCCTACGAACTCGACCCTCCCGGGACCCCCCAGCCCCTGCGAGGACCTCGCCCCGCCGGGCGCCCCCAGACCCCTGAACCCTCCCCCGACGCGGCTGTGCGTCCTCCCCACCCATCGGGTCCCCAGGACCCATCCTCCGACCCATCCCGTCGCTTCGCGCCGGCCCGCCACCCCCATCCTTCCCCGGGTCCCCAGGGCGGCTCTGTCAGCCCCCTTCGATCCGGTCGGCTGCCGGTCCTGCAGCGGGCCATGCTGCCGCGCGCGCTCGGACCCCGGCTCCGGCTCCTGGCGCTGCTGCTCCCGCTGCTGCCGCGGCTCGCGCGCGCCCCGGAACCTGCGGCGCAGGGCGTGAGCCTAGGAGTGGTGAGTGAGGGGCCGCTGGCCACCGGGGTCGGAGGGGCCTGGAGAGGGCAGCCGGGGCTCGGGGTTCAGAGGCCCGAGCTCCTGGGTGGCCAGGGCTCTTAGGTCCAGCAGGGCGGCTGGGGTCCAGGACTCCTGGGTCCGGGGACGGGACTCAAATGTCCAAAGAGTAACTGGGCTGGAGAAGGGGTCTGGGGACCCGGATTCTTAGATCCAGTCCGGATTCGGAAATCGGAAGAGGAGCTTGGGTGGGGAGCTGGGGGCCGGGACTCCTGAGTCCAGACAAAGGCTGGGAAACTCAGGGCTGGAGGGTGGGGACCTTGGGCGGGGGAGCTTTGGGCTCCGGGGACCTAGCGAGGGGCGGGGCTTCCAAGATGGTGGGTGGGGGGGAAAGGATGAGTCCCACCCTCCGTCTCATCCTGCCTCACTCGTCCCCACCGCCATCTAGGACTGGCTGACCCGCTACGGCTACCTGCCGCCTCCCCATCCAGCCCAGGCCCAGCTTCAGAGTCCTGCGCAACTGCGGGATGCGATCAAGGTCATGCAGCGCTTTGCTGGGCTGCCTGAGACGGGCCTCATGGGTAGGTCGCCCCCCGCCTCCCCCCAACCCCGTCTCTGCGTCCAGCCTGAGCGTCAGCCAGCGGGTCTTCATCCTCAGTGGGGACGTTACCAAAATGTCAGGCCCCAGCCCGGGAGATTCCCAGGCTTTCCTGTTTCAGTAAATACAGTAAAAGCTGTGAAAGCAAGCCCGGACAGTGTAAGGCGGACACCTATCAGAGAAAGAAAACTCAAATCTTTTCCACTGAAACACGCGATAGAAAAGTGTTAAGACTGCACCCCGTCCAAGGCGGAAAACCTGTGGGACTCGGAAAAGCAAGGCAGACCTGCTGAGTTCCTGCTTTCACAGGTTTCGCTGTACTTCTTGAGAGGTTGGGCTGGTACAGTGATGAACAGATAAGGTCCCTGTCCCCATGTCGCTAACATTCTAGAGGGAGGAAGAAACAAACAAAAGCAAATGCCACCAGGTGGATTCCAACTCCTAGAGACCCTGTAGGACAGCCCTATAGGGTTTGCAAGGCTGTAACCTTTACGTTAGCAGACTGCCACATCTGTCTCCCTCGGAGGGGCTGGTGGGTTCCAGCTGCTCACTTTTCGGGTTAGCAGCCGAGTGCTTTAGCCACTGTGCCACCAGGGCGGAAGAGGAAGCCACAAATGAAGAACGCAAACACGCAAGACAATTTCAGATAGCAGTGGGTGTTTAAAAGAAACCCTGGTGGCACAATGATTGGCAGTTGGAGCCCACCCAGTGGTTCCTGGGGGCAAAGGCCTGGCAATCTGCTTCCATAAAGATTACAGCCTAGAAAATCCCGTGGAGTAATTCCACTTTGTCACATGGGGTTGCTATGAATGGAAAATTGACTCAACAGCACCCAACAACAACTGTAATAGCGAGTGTTTTCAAGAACATGAAAAGCTAATGGTATTGAGGGGTTGGGACTGGCCAGGGCGGGCCCTATGAAAGTGTCATATGAGCTCAGGCCAGAAAGGGGAGGAGCCAGGCCTGGGAAGATGAGGAAGAATGTCCCAGGCGCGTGCAAAGGCCAGGTGGCAGGCACAAGCTTGTGCGCCTGGAGCGGGAGGAAGAACGAAGAGCTAGGCAAATGCCTGATTTGTGGGGGAGACTTGCATTTGGGTTTGACTGCAACTGTGGTAAAAACCAGTGGGAGGGTCTGAAGGAGTGAAGTGACTCGATCTGATTTGCAACCTTCAGCTTCCTGTGACTCCTGGTGCAGGATGGAGGGTGGGGGCAGAGAGGCAGGAAGGGGCAGTCACAGGGTGTGGGAGAGCAATGACGGTGGCCCGGACCAGGGTGGTGGATGTGGCGAGAGGTGGTTGGATTCAGGGTGCATTTTGGAGGTAGAGCTGAGAGGCCTGGCCTTGGGTCAAGTGAATGAGAGGGAGAGAGAGGGAACTTGGCCAGCTACAAGTGAAGGCAGAGTCCTTTTCTGCCCAGTCCATTCGTGAGCAGCCTGGCACAGTGTCGGACATCTAATATGCACTCAGTCAGTGTTTGTCCCATCCACAGATGAGGTGGGGCTTAAGCTTCATTTGAAGACAAGAAGGCTGCTGGGGTTGAAGTGGGAAATGTTTTGTTACATGTGCCTCTTCACAATTAAAGAAGAAGAGGAAGGCTGTTAGGGGTGGAACTGGGAAAGGGCATTCCAGAGGGTTCCCGGTGGACTGGCAGCGAGGGCTGACTTGCCATGGGAGACCAGAGACTGGGCGGCCTGGCGCCTTTGGACTTTATCTGGGTGTGATGGGGGACTTGCAAGCTAGATTACGAGATACCAGCCACTTCCCAGGGGCTTCCAGCCTCCAAGAGAGGGGTCCTGGGTTACTCACTGCGCCCCCAGGACTCTCCAGAGTCCACCTGCCAGGCTCAGGGGAATGGGGCCCCGAGATCCTGGCCCGAGACTCTGGCAGTAATGGCTCGGTTGTACGAGATGGCTCCGGGCTGCAACACTGTTGTTGTGTACTGGGCATCAAGCGGGTTCCGACCTCGCGACGCCACATGACAGAGCAGAACTGCCCCACGGGGTTCCCTAGGCTGTAGTCTTTACCCGAGCAGATCGCCTGTTCTTTCTCCACGGAGCCACTGGGTGGGTTCGAACCACCAACCTTTCGTTTAGCAGCCGAACGCTTAGCCATTGCTCCACCAGGGCTCCTTAGACTCAGATGCCTGGGTTCAAATACTGCTTGTAGGACCTTCCTGGGCAAGTTTCTTAACCTCTCTGAGCCTCAGTTTCCCCCTGTAGAAAGTTAGCTGGCCCGATTATTTGGGCTCGCGGTCCCACTGCTGACCCTGCTCCCCCAACCCCTCCTGCAGACGCAGTGACAATGGCCACCATGCACAAGCCCCGTTGCTCCCTGCCCGACGTGCTGGGGGTGGCGGGGCTGGTCAAGCGCCGCCGTCGCTACGCTCTGAGTGGCAGCGTGTGGAAGAAGCGGATCCTGACGTGGAGGTAGGTCGTGGTGCCCACCCCAACCAGGGCTGCCTGCGGGACCCCAGCCTGGAACGGCTGCCTTCTCCCAGCCACCCTTATCCAGCAGCCCCCTCCTGTCTCCCCAGGGTGCGTTCCTTCCCCCGGAGCGCCCAGCTGAGCCAGGACCTCGTGCGAACCCTCATGCAGTATGCCCTGGACGCCTGGGGTGTCCAGTCAGGCCTCAGATTCAGGGAGGTGGGGTCTCAGGACCCTGAACCTGACATTCTCATTGACTTTGCCCGGGCCTACCACCAGGACAGTTACCCCTTCGACGGGCTGGGAGGCACCCTGGCCCATGCCTTCTTCCCCGGGGAGCACCCCATCTCCGGGGACACGCACTTCGACGATGAGGAGGCCTGGACTTTTGGCTCGAAAGGTACAACCTCCCCTCTCTGACAGGCCCGCTCCCCGCGTCTGTCTGTCCTGAAGAGTCAGGCTGCAGTCACACTTATTAACGCGGCTGGATGACTTTCCCAGGTCTGCCAAAGTGAAGTACCGGTACCGCTTTGTGGCTTGTAACACGGAAGTTTCTTTTTTTTATTTTTATAATTTATTTGTTGTTGTTGTTGAGAATATGTACAGCAAAACCCACACCAATTCAACAGTTCCAAGGTAGATGCCGGATCCAGGTAAGAGATGGTGGTGATGGCCCAGGAGGGAGGTGGGAGTGGAAGTTAGTCAGGCTGGGTAAGGATTGGAATCTGACTGGATCCTGGGGCCAAGGGAGGTGGGTGGTGATGTCCGGGTTTCCGGCTGGGCCCCTGAAGGATGGTCTGCTGCTGACGCAGGAGGATCAAGCAAGAGGAGGAGGAGAAGGTTTGGGAAAGGCAGTGCTGAGTTCAGGTTTGCAACGTGGCGGTGTGCTGGCAGTTGAGATCTGGCTCTAGAACTCAGACTCTGTCTTAGGGCAGGTTCCCCAGAAGCAGAACTTGGGATGGAAATTCCCGTGCAAGTGATTTCTTGGGGGCACGTTCTCAGAGGCAAGGAAATAAGGGAATCAGGAGGACTGGGGGAGCAGCAGAGCAGGGCTGTGGTCTCAGCTGAAGGAGAGCTCTGGGGCATAGGAACACCAGAGTTAATCCTGTCTGGAGGCAAGGAACCCGGGTCCCCGGGGGGCACAAACAACTACTGACCTAAAGGATGGCAGTTCAAACCCACCCAGCAGCACCTTGGAAGAAAGTCCTGGTGATCTGCTTCCATAAAGATTACAGCCAATAAGACCCTATAGAGCACAGTTCTACTCTGTAACCCATCGAGTTGCCATGATTTGGAGTTGGCTCAATGGCAAGGGGTTTGATTTGGTTTGGTTGGAGGCAAGGGGCCCAGCCTCACAGCAATCAGTCATTGGCTATGGGCTGCAGTGGGGGTGGGGGAGTGGCAGTCTGGGCAAGGAGAGCAATTTTCCAGTGAAGGGGCAGCCAGGGCACTGGTGCCCAGACGCTGTAGAGGCGTTTGGACGAGACACCAACAGCATCCACAATGGTGAGAATGTGGGCTTTGCAGCTCTACTCCAAGGCAGGGCTCCTCCACTTGCTAAGTGTATATATAGCAAGATACTTAACCTGAACGGCCTCACTTTCCTCATTGCGGATTAAATGAGTCATTCACATACAGCACAGGGCCTGACAGGGAGTAGTGTTCTCTTAATTGCAGTGATTATCAGAGCTGGGCCTAGTTGTAGATTTGAGAATCAGTGGTATGCCGGAGTGGTGTCGGGGTTCCCGGAGTTCCCAGGAGGAGGGCATAACATGTGAAGAGCAGAAGGTCAAATACAGAGCTGTGGAGAACCCCACAGTTAAGGGGTGGGTGGCGGTGGCACAGAAATCAGCAGAGATGGAGAAAGAACGGCCCGAAAGGTGATCAAAAACAAGAGTGAAGGAGGAAGCGGTCAGCGGTGGCCAGAGCAGGAACCAAGTCCAGTAAGTGACACAGGCCTGGATTTGGTCATCCGGGGACTTGGTGACCTTAGTGCCTGCAGGCTTGGGGGTGGGGAAGAATCCAGACCACAATGGGGTTAGGCATCAGAGGAGATGAGGAAGTGAAGACTGAGTTTAGAGGACCCAAGAACTTGGCAGTGGAGGGAGGGAGAAGATAGGAGTGTGGGTGGGAGGGAGAGGGCAAAGTAGGTCCCAGCAGTGTCTTAGGATGAGAGAGTTTTGAACACTCTGGGATGCTGGATGAGCCAATAGAAAGACATAGTGGATGGGTGAGAGATGGATGGATGGATGGGTGGGTGAACTAGATGGGTGAATGGATTGATGGATGGGTGAATTGTTGGATCGGTGGATGGATGGATGGATTGGATGAGTGGATAGATGGGTGAACTGGATGGATGGATTGACGGATGGGTGGATGGATGGATGGGTGGGTGGATAGATGGGAGGGTGGATGGATTGGATGGATAGGTGTGAGGTTAATTGGATAGATGGGTGGGAGGGTGGATGGATGGATGGGTGAGTGGATGGGGCATTATCTCAGAGGAGGTGAGTGAGGCAGGGTGTTGGCACAGGGTAGGACAGGAGGCAGGAAGTGAGCATGGGGAAATGTGCCATGTGCTGCTGGTGGGCCGGAAGTTGCAGATTACATCTGATGGCCTCTACTGATGAAATAGGAAATGCATTTGTCAGCATTTGCCATTGGAAAGTGGGGGACTGGGGTGGGATAGTAGCTTGTGGGGGTATGTGAGCCTGGAATTGAGGCTGAGAGGAGAGGGCAAAGTTGTTGCCTGCTGGGGGATCTGGCAAGCATGAGAGGAGATGCTGAGGGCCCCTGTGTCTCCCTGCGGGGACCTTGTGGGGCTGGGTCTGCACAGTTGTGTCATTTCCTGCAGCTGCATAGTGTGAGATGGTACAAGGATGGTGCGTGTGGCCTGGAAGCCCAGCTGGGCCGGCGCAGCCGAAGGAGAGGGCTGTGCACAGAGAAACTGAAGGGCGTGTGGTCTACCTAATTTAGACACCCAACTTCCTGGGCTTTCTCAGAAAAAGACAGAGTTGTAAGAAAACCCAGTTCACACAGAAAATCAGTAGATAATGCAACATGACCAAGAACAGCCAGAGTGCCTCCGTCGCAGCGCTGCCACCCGACTTGGCTTGTGGGTGCCTCTGCTTCCTCAGCTGTCAAATGGGGGCAGGAGGCTGAGGCAAACTGAGGATCAGTGCTGCTCATACTACGACTTAGCCCAGTATCTCATTCTTGACTCTTGTCCCGCAGCCGTGAGGAGCTGAGGGAAGTATGCTTTGCAAGGGGCGGCTCATTTCCTTTAAGCCCACTTCCGGCTCTGCTAACCTGTTTAGAGAGGTTTCCATTAACGAGCAGCGTCTAGCAAGTGTGTGTTCCCCTGGGGCGGGAGGCCTGGCTCGGTCTCTTCCGGCCTCTTGTGGGCGGGGCCGGAGCAGGAGCCGGCAGGAGGCGGGTGGGATCGATGCGGGCCTGGTTCTGGCGCCCAGGCTGCGTCCCCAGGGAAGAGGCCACTGTGGTTGTCGAGCATGGGGGCTGTGGTCTGAGAGAGGCTGCTGAGGTGGCAGATAATGACTGCAGTGGGGGAGGGGCGAGGACGAGAAGGAAGGGAGGGTGGAAGGGGGAATGGAGGAGGGGGGTAGGCAAGAAGAAGGGGAGCGGGAAGGACTGATGGGGGTGGGGGAGGTCTTGGGAGCTGAGGCTGAGGAGATGACCTTCCTTCCCAGAAGAGGGGAGTGGGAAGGATGGGGAGGAGCCGCAGTCAGTCCCTAGTCGGTGCCGGCAGGAGGGGAGACTCCAAGGGCTGGGGCTTCCTCCAGAGGACTGCGTGCACCCCTCGGGCTCCTGCTTCCCCTCACAGAGTTCCTACGTCCGCAGGCCAGCCTTCTGGGGGGTGGGGCGGGGCTACATCTGTGCAAGGTCACCCCTTCCTCTGTTCGGGCGTTCCCTCCTGCCTGCTCCATGTCCCCTTTTCCACGACCAGTGGGCTGGGTCTCCTCAGTTCTGGCCCTGGTGTCCCGCACTGTCCAGTAGGCGGTACTCAAAGTCTTTACTGACTGGATGGATGGATGCCTAAATGGTGAAATGGCCCAGTGACGTGAAAGGTCAGAGGAAGGAAGCCTGGGCCACACCGGGAGGGTCTCCTGGCTGTTCCTGACTGCCAGTCGCCCCCCACTCCCAGGGGGCTGCCCCTTTCCTGGTGTGAGGGTGGCCCCAGCTGGCTCTTCCTCCCTCCCTCCCCAGATGGCGAGGGGACAGACCTGTTTGCTGTGGCTGTCCATGAGTTTGGCCACGCCCTGGGCCTGGCCCACTCCTCAGCACCCGACTCCATCATGAGGCCCTTCTACCAGGGCCCCGTGGGTGACCCCAGCAAGTACCGCTTGCCCCAGGATGACCGTGAGGGCCTGCAGCAGCTCTATGGTACGGTGGGGGTGGGGGTGCCCTGACCTGTCACGTGGCTGACCCCAGGCCCACAGCAGCAGGGCCAGGGGAACCCATGCCCTGCCGACTCTCTCCCTACAGGGAAAGGGCCCCAAACCCCACATGAGGAGCCCACAAGGAAGCCCCTGGCTCCTCCTCCCCAGCCCCCGGTGCTGCCCCCGGACAGGTGAGTCCCCCCCCCCCCGGCTGTGACATCAGGTAGCTCCCTAACCTATGTGTCCTCCTCCATGAGATGGAGAGAATCAGAATCCTGGCCTCATGGGACTGCTGTGGAGGGGAGGTGAGGAGACCAGGAGTCCCCGGCCCCTCTCCGTTCACCTGTTCTTGCCTCCGCAGCCCCTCATCCCCCGTTCCTGACCGATGTGAGGGCAATTTTGACGCCATCGCCAACATCCGAGGAGAAACCTTCTTCTTTAAAGGCGAGTCACTTCGGAGCTCACCTGGGGCTGAGATGGCTGACGTCTTACCCACCGAGGGGGGCTGTGGGGCTTCCCTGGGCTGAGATGGCTGACATCGTACCCACCGAGGGGGGCTGTGGGACTTTCCGGGATGTGAGATTTTTGGTGCTAAAACCAGGAAAGTCTCAGGCAAAACTGGACAAGTGGGTCACCCTGATCCACTGAGCCCTGACTTCCAGCTGGGTCCCCACAGTCCATGGGAAGGGGAGCCCCAGCACTGGCCCCAACACCCCCAGCCTCTCATCTGGGGGGGGGGGAGACCAAAAACCAAACTAGTTGCTGTCGACTTGATTACCACTCATGGTGACTCCATGTGTGTCAGAGCAGAAGCGAGCTCCACTGGGTTTGCAATGGCTGATATTTTAGAAGTAGATTGCCAGGCTTTTCTTCTGAGGCACCTCTGGGCAGACTCCAACCTCTAACCTTTCAGTTAGGAGACAAGCGCTGAACCGTTTGCACCACACAGGGGCATCTGGGGGAAGACCTGATGCAAACTTCTCCGTGACCGGCCCTATGCCCGCCCCATCTTCCCTCCAGGCCCCTGGTTCTGGCGCCTCCAGCCCTCGGGACAGCTGGTATCCCCCCGGCCTGCCCGGCTGCACGGCTTCTGGGAGTGGCTGCCCACCCATGTGAGGGTCATCGAGGCCGCCTATGCCCGGCACCGAGATGGCCGCATTATCCTCTTTAGCGGTGAGCAGGGTCTAGGATGAGGGGGGAGCTGGGGGGACGTTGGGAACCCACCCTGACCGGATGCTGCCTCCCGCCAGGCCCCCAATTCTGGGTGTTCAAGGACCGGCAGCTGGAGGGCGCCGCCAGGCCGCTGACGGAGCTAGGGCTGCCCCCGGGCGAGCGGGTGGACGCAGTGTTCTCGTGGCCGCTGAACGGGAAGACCTACCTGGTCCGCGGCCAGCAGTACTGGCGGTATGACGAGGCGGCTGCCAGCCCGGACCCCGGATACCCGCGCGCCCTAAGTCTCTGGGAGGGGGCGCCTTCCGACCCCGATGACGTCACCGTCAGCAACACAGGTGAGGAAGGCGCAGGGGAAGGGGTTAGCCGTGAGAATGGGTTGGGGGGTCCTGGGAAGGGGAGACAGAGGCAATCCTGGGGGATTTGGGGGAGTATTGGGAGAGAAACAGTGCGGCGGGAGGAGCGGGCGTGGGGAGCGCCCGACTCATGCTCTTGGAGTGTCTTCTCGGCTCCTACAGGTGACACCTACTTCTTCAAGGGCGCCTACTACTGGCGCTTTGCCAAGGGCAGCGTCATGGCCGATCCGGACTCCCCCCAACCCATAGGGCCCAAGTGGCTGGACTGCCCTGCCCCCAGCGGTGGCCCCCCTAAAGCGCACCCCACGCCTGGAGACTGCAATTGTCAGTGCGAGATCAATCAGGCCGCGGGGCCCCCGCCCCTGCCCCTCTTGCTGCCCTTCCTGTCCCTGCTGGTGGGGGGCGTTGCCTCTCTCTGAGGGGGCAGCAACCTTAGCCTGAGAATCTCCCGTCACTGGACTTGGTGCGGGGTTGCAAGTAGCTTGGCAGCCAATTGTCTGTTTCCAAGGTTGGGGTATGGGGCTTCGCGGGCCGGGAGCTGGGCGGACACACTGCGGAGGGGCGCCCCCCAGGACTGGGCCCCCGCGCCACCCCTGCGCACACGGGTACCTCCAGCCCTCCAAGGTGCGCCTTCCCCGGCTGCAGCCGCGCCGACCCGGAGCCTCCGCCAGGGGGCGCCCCGACTCTGCGAAAGCTCTGTCGCAGGTGTCGGGGGGGGGGCAGCCAGCCGCCAGGGGGCACTGCGGACCACGCGGGGGCCTCCAGCCCTTCCCTCGGTAGCCGTCTGGGGAGAAGGCAGGACCGGGGGGTGGCTCCTACGGTGGGGCGAGTTAGCCCCTGGGGGTGGGGGCAGGACGAAGGGCTGGCCCTTTGCTGGGAGGGAGGACCTCGCCCTGCGCCGCGCTGACCGCAGCTGCACGTTCCTTTACCCGGAACAGCTAGCCTTTCCCGCAGCACAGCCGGCGCTTCTCTCCGCCCCCGCCTCGCCGGGCCCTACCGGCTGGCGGCTTTTTGGGTCAAGAGTGAGGACAGGCACGACAGAGAAATGCCCAGCCCCATCCCTTCTCCCTGCCCGCTTCTCTGAGCTTCCAGAAGCTTCTGACCCTGTCCTGTCCCAACGACGTCCCAGTGCAGTCGGCCCACATTGGTGGGACCCCAGAGTCCAGTGCCCCACGCCCGAGGTGACGGCCGCCGCCACAGGGACGACCCTCTGAGCACTGACCTCCCCGACTTCTTCAGTGTCAGCGAAATTCCCAGCCCGCTCCAGTCTGGAACCCCAACCTGACCCAGACTGTCCCTCCATCCCACCTTCAATAGGGCACCCCCCTCGCCCCGCGTTTCTAAAAACCTCGCACCACCGTCCACATTGGCTTCTGCAGCATCTCTCAAGAACTACTCAGCTCCCATCTGCTAAATACTGATGTTGCAACCCAACCCCAAGGTCACTGCCTCCCCAGCGCTGTGGGTGGCCCTGATTCTCTGTGAGGGGTGGGTGGGACCTGACTTCCCCGCTCTGCGCTCTCCTGGGCACTTCATTTATCCCTCACCCACCCCGCACGTCCCACTGGGGCTGAGCTCAGGGCCTGGTGCCCAGCAGGGGACAGTCCATATCTGATGATGGAGTCCTGGATCTTACGCAGTGCCCCTGCAACTACGCTTCTGGAATACTCCACTTCAGAACCACCTGCAGAACTTAAAAATGCAGATCCCAGAACCTCACCACAGACTCCTGAATACTCACTCGGGGGGGCAGGACCAGGAATCTGCATTTCAACAAGCTGGAAGGGGAGTGGTGGCTGTGATGGGTAAGGGAACTGACCCATGGCATTTCTTTATCTCGGTCATTCCCTCCAAGGGGCCAGTCCTCTTCATAAATTCTCTGCAGAGCCAGCTGATGGCCTTGGTTGATCCATGTCCACCCCCATGGGTGCAGTCCACCAGAGTGGCCACTTCCAGGCTCAGCAGCAGCCCCATGCTGTTTCCTGGAGCTGAGGCTGTGGGCAGAAGTCCCAGTGAGCAGGAGATGTGCCCACAGTTGATCATGACCACCAGACCAGGCCAAGGACAAAAGCCAGGTATCTTCCACCAGGCCATGGCCTGAAAATTCTAAGCACCCAGAAAACCACCTGAGCTCTGACAGATTTCTTTCCATGTATGAGGAGGATGAAACTTGTATTTTATCATTGAACGGGCAGTAAAAATGAGTAGAGCAAAAGCCCTTCATTTCTTCTGAACATCATTGGGGTTGGGCTGCAGGTCAAGTTCGGTGGTGGGACTGGACAGAGCTGAAATGCTCTGCTCTGCAGAAGTTGGAACCCAGGGTTGATGGGGGACAGCAGGGGAGGGAGTACAGGAGAATGGATGGGACGAAAAAGCAGTGAGAGGAACGCAAAAGCTGGTTGTGGGGCCGTAGAGGAGGGTGTCCAATGTGAAAGTTGAGATTGTTTTTATTGCTACATGTAACCTTCTTCTGTAGCCTTTAAGAATTTATTAAGTCTGCTGCACAAAAATGCTGTGTGAAATTAGTTTACTATTTTAAAAATGGTACAATCCCATCATCAAAATTAGAAACTTTTGTGCCTCAAATGACACCATCTAGAAACTGAAGACAAACCATACAATGGAAGAAGTGTTTGCAAATTGTCTATCTGATAAGAGACTTGTATCCAGAATATATAAAGAGCCCTTACAACTCAATAATGAAACATAACCCCATTTAAAAAATGGATCTGAATAGATATTTCTGCAAAGAAGATATATAAATGACTAACAAGCACGTGGAAAAATTCAAATTATTAGCCAACCGTTGGGGAGACGCAAATCAAGACCATAAGGAGGTACTACCTTCCACCCGCTAAGCCATATCTGTGGAGTCTATTCCGACTCATGATGATCCCATGTGTGCACAGTAGAACTACATTTCATAGGGTTTTTAAGGGCTGTGACCTTTCGGAAGCAAATCACCGGGCATTTCTTCTGAGATGTCTCTATCTGGGTTTAAACTGCCAAGTAAGATGATTACTCAAAAAGAAGGTCATTAATAAGTGGTGGAACCCTCATACACTGCCAGTGGGAATGTAAACCGGTGCGGTCACTTTGGAAAATAGTCTGGCAGTTCCTCAAAAGGTTAAACACAGAGGTCCTGTATGACCCAGCAATTCCACTCCTCGGTATATACTCAGAGAAATGAAAACATACCTTCACACAAAAACTTGAACACGAAAAGAAAAAAGAAGTGTAGCTGCTGAGTCTGCTTCTGTGCAACCAAACGCTTCATGGATACGACTTCTTGGTTCGCAGGTTTAGGGTTGTGGTTTTATGGGTCATCCCAGGTAATCGACCTAATAATGTTTTTAGTGCTTCTCGTCTACCACCTCCTAGTTCTTAGCGTAGCGCCTGGGGTCTTAAAAGCTTGCAAGTGGGCATCAAAGGTACTAACATTTGATCTCTATTCACCTGGAACAACAGAGGAAGGAGAGTGAGGAATAGGAGGAGGGAATGGAATGTATGGCTAATTGCCTGCATGAACAACTGTCTCCTTTGCCAGGAGACCACAAGAATGGAATGGTTCCGGACTGCCATTACTGAACGTTTGATCAGTAAGAGAGGGAGGGGACTGGAACAGAGCTTCAAATTCAAACTGTTGCCTTGAGATAATCTTTAAACCTTAAATTAAAAAAAAATCCCCTGAAGGCTTTTTTAAACCTTTTTATTTAAAATTGTAAATTCTGCATATACAATTCTTTAAATTGTTCATATAAAAATTGCTGAATTGGATCAGGGCGGGTACATAGTGGCCCAGGAGTGTGAGACCTTGATAAGAGAGTGGATGGAGGGTGACCTTAATCAGCTGCTCAAGAAGGGAAGAGACTGGCATCCAACCAGGGCCCCAAAAGTGTTTCAAGACATCATTTTAAGAAGAAAGAATTGCAGCCTCAAACAAGGTATTCATTTTGTGAGCCCCAGTTATACTGCATAACGGCTCAACCTTCTGGGCAGCACAGAATGGGACTTTATTTGCGTCCTGTCTTTCCCTTTTTAAAGACTGATTCAAAATAAAAATGTATAAAATATAATATTACTGATAAAACGTGGAAATAAATGACATAATGCTTGAAATATCTCTATTATTTAGTACTTGTGAAACTTATTTATTTATTTATTTTGCTTTAGGTGAAAGTTTACAGGGCCAATTAGTTTCTCATTAAACAGTTAATTCACATATTGTTTTGTGCCATTGGTTGCCATCCCCACCACATGTCAACACTCTTCCCTTCTCGACCTTGGGTTTTCCATTTCCATTCTCCAGCTTTCCTGTCCCCTTCTGTGTTTTAGTCCTTGTCCCTGGGCTTGTGTGCCCATTTAGTCTCATATACGTGGTTGAGCTACACGTATTATTGCTTTTTTTATAGGGCTGTCTAATCTTTGACTGAAGGGTGAAGCTCAGGAGTAACTTCAGTACTGAGCTATGAGGGTGTCTCGGGGTCACACTCTTGGGGTTTCTCCAGTCTCTGCCAGACCAGTAAGTCTGCTGTTTTTTTTTGTGAGTTTGAATTTTGTTCTACATTTTTCTCCAGCTCTGTTTGGGACCCACTATTGTGATCCCTGTCAGAGCAGTCAGTGGTGGTAGCCGAGTACCATCTAGTTGTGCTGGACTCAGTCTGGTAGAGGCTGTGGTAGATGTGTTCCATTAGTGATAAAGGGCATCCTTGTCTTGTTTCTGTTCTCAGGCGGAATGTTTTCAGCCTGTCTCCATTGGGAATGGTGTTGGCTGGTGATTTTGTATAAATGACCTTTATTATGTTGAGCAATTTCCCTTCTCTTCCTATTTTATTGAGAGTTTTTATGAGGAATGGGTGTTGGACTTTATCAAATGCCTTTTCTGTCTCGATTGAGATGATCATGTGATTCTTTTGTTTTATTTATGTGGTGGATTACACTGATTGATTTTCTAATGTTGAATCATCCTTGCATACCTGGTATGAGTCCCACTTGGTTGTGGTGTGTTATTTGTTGATATGATGCTGAGTTCTATTGGCTAGAATTTTGTTGAGAATTTTTGCATCTATATTCATGAGAGATATTGGTCTGTAATTTTCTTTTTTTGTGGTGTCTGTCGGGTTTTGATATCAGGGTTATGCTGGCTTCATAGAAGGAGTTTGCAAGTATCCCTTCCTCTTCTATGTTCTGAAATAGTTTGAGTAGTACTGGTGTGAGCTCTTCTCGGAATGTCTGGTAGAATTCTCCAGTGAATCCATCTGGGCCAGGAGTTTTTTTTGTTTGTTTGTTGGGAGTTTTTTTTTTTAATTACCTTTTCCATCTCTTCTCTTGTTATAGGTCTGTTCAGATTTTGTGCCTCAGTTTGTGTTAGTTTAGTGAAGTAGTGTGTTTCTAGAAATTTGTCCATTTCCTCTAGGTTTTCAAATTTGATGGAGTACATTTTTTTCATAGTACTCTGTTATGATCCTTTTTATTTCAGTTGGGTCTGTTGTAATGTCCCCCATTTCATTTCTTATTTGGGTTATTTGCTTCTTCTCC